ATTGATGCTAAGAAATATGGCATATCTACTCATAGATTTTCGATCATCAATACTACCGATCAAATCGGCATCACTGTAAACAGATATATACAAATGAGGCGAAGGTCGAATTAACAAACTATAAGAATGAGAGGCCTTTAGGTAATAGAGAATCCGTTTGATCGTCTATTAATGATCAATAGTAGGAGAGTGCATAAATTGATAACTTTGTTTATAGTATAGGACGCATTAGGATGGGTTAAGGTTAGATGTTGGGGATTTTCCATAATACTTTGATACAAGTAAAGGGTCAAAAAATGTCTCACATACGTACATAGTAAGACGATGCTTAAGACAAACAAGAGTAGAAATTGTATTGGTTTCATACATGTAAGAACGAAGTAGAATATCATCAATGTACTTGGATTGAGTTAAAAAAACCCTTAGTAGTTTAGGCAATACTAAGAAACAAATGAAAAATGCCAAGGTTTTTTATAGGGAAAAGAAGTTAAAGAGAAGCAATAATAAATGATAGGAAGAATAAAGAGCTTCCAGCTAGCACCATATCATTAACATAAACTAAACAAGTGGGCATGGGTGTTAGTAGGCATGAGTGTCACCATTGTAATAAGAAAATAAGGATGAGTCTACCTCAAAACCTATAAAACCAAATGTGTATAATGCATTAGAGAGGTAATGATGCCAAGATATAAGAGCTTATTTGAGACCATAAAGGCTTTTCTTGAGGCTATGAGCATGATGTGGTTTGGATGGATCAATAAATCCCCGAGGCCGAGTCATGAAAACTTGTTCATCGAGAGTGCCATGAAGAAAAACATTAGAAACATCTAACTACTTAATGTCCCTATGTTTGGAAAAAACAAAGGATAAGATAAGTTTGATAGTTACGGGTTTGACAACAGGAGAAAAGGTTTCAATGTAATCCGGACCATGATGCTAGTGAAAATCTTTGGCGATAAGATAGGCTTTTGTAACGCTTGATACTACCATCGGGCTTTGTTTTGATGCGAAACACCTATTTACGACCCATCATATTCGTGAAGCATCCGTTGGTACCAAAACCCATGTATCATTGAAAATTAAGGAATTAATTTCTTCCATCATCATTTTTCTCCCATGATCATTTTTTTATAACTTGAGAATAAGATTAGCCATCCAAAGATGGAGTAGCCAAATTGATAAATGCTTTAGATTTTAGACACCCAATTTAAGGCCTTGTGACCATATAATGAAGTTTAGTGCAAAGCTAAACAGTGGATTAAACTAAAAAAGAGGGCATTACTTGGATGAGAATGCGGACAAGGGCCGGTAGGGATCAAATGTCATGAGCTAGTGGGGATTGAATGCCACGGGAAGTGGAGTATGTTTGAGTAGTTACTAGAATTAAAATAGAAGGTTGTTGTTCCTTGGGTCATGAAATGGGAATGGAAGTAGGCTTACTTGGTTGGGCTTGTGGTCGGTTAAGACCGCACTAGAGTAATTACTAAAAATGATGTAGGAAGTTGCTTGGACAATGGGTCGTGAAATAGAATTGGAAGTAGGTTGGATAGTAGGTAAAAGAGTGGTCGCATTGAAAGTCCTGTTGGGCCACTTATAGGCTGGACCATAGCAAATCCATGTGGAGAGAATAAAATGGTTAATAGCCCATGATGGTGAGATAGTTAGGCCGAAATAGAGAATGACCTATTGGAGGCTAGCACTGTTTGTGAAAAGCTATTTGTAGTAGCGGGCATAGGATAATGAGAGCCTATAGGTAAACTTATGGGAAATAGAAAAGGAGCAAGTAGTAAGCATATTAGAATTTTGGACTCGTAAAGTATTTGAGAAGGGACCCACTTGTAACTCAGCAAAAGGAAACTCATATTTAGAAAATTTGACATGCTTGTGAGATATAAATCCTGTCATTAGTAGTATCCAAGCAAAAATATCACTTATGAATTTTGTTATAACCTAGAAAAAATAAATCTTCTTGATCAAGGGCCAATTTATTGACAACATAGGGCTTTAACCAAGAGTAGCATATACAACCAAAAACTCTAAGAAAATTATAATCAATTGATTGCTTAAATAAAATTGCAAATGGTGCTTGATTAGATAAAAAAACGAGTTAAAAGTTGATTAATAATGTAAATAATTACATCAAAAACATATGTCTAGTATTTCAAAGGAACCTAAGCATGATTTAATAAAGTTAAACTAGTTTCAATCGCATGATGATGTTTAGGTTCAACACAACCATTTTACTTAAGAGTGTGTGTGGCTAGGATTTTTATGTGATACCATTGTCGGTAAGATATTTTACGAGAGCTTGATACTCACCATCTTAACCAGACTTGAAAGGATTTAATTGAACATTCAAAATATTTTTCCATAGGATGATGAAATTTAATAAAAACACTAAGGACCTCGGATGTATATTTAATAACAAATATCCATGTGTACTTACTGAAATTATAAAAAAATAGTACATAGTACTTAGCACCAGTAACAGAAGTAATAGGAGATGTACCTCACACATTTGAACAAATTAACTCAAGAGGAGACTATGGTTGTAATTTTGAAGTCGTAAAGTGTAGTCTGGTGCTCTTATTGATACTGCATGCATGACATAAAGGAACAAAATCCAAATGAGAAACTGAATAATTATTGCTTTTAAGTACTTGACAGACAATCTGAATAGAGGCATAACCCAAACGCGCATGCTAAGATGATAGAAAGATAGAGATGGCATGAGGATAGATAGGAGGAAAGCTAACACTAGTGGTGCGATTGGATGACAGAACATATAACCCTTATTTTTTCGACCCGGAGTGAAAAACTTCCTTCGTGTGGATATCTTTAATGGTAAAATATTATGAAAAAATTCAATGAAAACAACATTAGCTTTGGTAAAGGAACCCAAAGACATTAGATTATAACAAGTAGTAGGCATATATAAGACATTATTTATATAAAAAATATGACTAGGAGCATAAATAGAAGACTACCCAATACGAATTGCCAATAGTGACTTCTCGTGGCCTGGTTTATTTAGTTGAACAATTCAGGTTTCCCATCTCTGTTGTGAGATGATGTGTGGTTCCTGAATCAACAATCCAATGTAAGGAAATTAGCGATCCAGTAACAGTAACATAAACCTGGAGGCTAAGGGCATGGTGGCTACGCAAAGTCATATTTAGGGTGTGGAGAAGGATATTACTTGAAGATGTGTCCACTGCCCCGACAATGATGACACACAAGATAGTTTATATTTGTAGTAAACGATTTTGCAGTAGAGGCAAGTGAATGAGAGGCAGTGTGTGGTCGATGGAGTATACCTAAAGTAATACTGTGATATCGCTGACTACGTCCTCTCTAATCTCGCCCACGGCCGCGAGCAAGGCTACCATGATGGGCATAATAGTGAGCTGTTGGGGCAAGAATGATGTCTGTAACTATGGCATCTTGTGAGAGTTATTGTTCTTCACCAACGAGAAGCCCAAATAAGTTATAAAAAAAATAGAGACAAGTCTTGCTTTCAAAGACCTCGCAAAGGGTCTGTATACGTGACCAAGATTAGTAAGGATAATGTCAACAAGATCATCTCTAGTTATTGAATGACTAAGGACAACAAGGTGATTAGATAAAGCCGTTGCTTTTTGCATATCAGGGGAGATATCGTCATTGTTTTATCGGAGTTGATGTAATCGAGATTGGAGTTGAGGAATTTGCGTTTTAGAGCTTGAAGCATGGGCTAAAGTGAGCTACTGCCATGTATCTCTAGCAATAGAGACACCAACAATATGAGTGAGGACATACTCAATGAGAGAAGACATAATCCAGCTTAAGACCAATTGATCTTGCCTATACCAAGACATATGTAGAGGATTTGGGGCAACATTATCGAGTGTAGGAGATGGTGTTGCCATGGTTCCATCAACATGATAAACTGAATCATGATCACGGAGAAAGGGTAATATCTGGGTTTGCCAAATAAGGAAGTTGGTGGAGTTTAATTCGATAGTAAAATGTGGAGATAGTTAGGGTGGGAGGCCGATGGTGTGGTGGGTGTTTGGGCTGAGATAATGGCTATAGAATAGAGTTCATCAATACTGTCAGATGTAGTAGTCATGGTTGAGAAGGAAAGAAAAGAAAACGAAACTTAGGTAGTAGCGATGAAGAGTAATGACAATAGCAGTATGTTGAGAAAAAAAAATGAGCTAGGCAGTTTGATATGAACAAACATTAGCAAAAGCAGTATGTGTGAAAAATAAAAGATGGGCAAGGCAATATTTTATAGTGATAAAATAGCATGCAGCAGTGGCGTTAAAAAGAAAAAGAAATACTTAAGGAGTAGTTACGAGAGAAAAAGAATGCGAAGTGATAGAGGAACAGTTTTGGCTATAACAGAGAAAAAAATAGAATGCACGCACTGGCTGTTAAGCCCAAAGTGGCTTTGATACCACAAAGAAGTTATACTCACTGTTGGTTATAAATAGAATACAAAGGGATATAGTAGTCAAAGTTTAAACATTCAAAAGAAGTCATAGTATATCTGGATTGTATTTGAATAGAATTCTACTTTATCTCTATTATATTTAAATAGAGACCTATCTTAATTTGTTATCTTAACATTAATTATCGCAAAACTATATGTTTTTTTTTCCCGTTATCCTCTTTCTTTATTGTTTTTACTTATTTATTTATTTTAAGAATGCAGTTGACAGCATACTAAAACGGAAAAGTTAAAACGGTAAAAGCCCATATTTATTGAAACTACGAACCTTTTACTGCTTTAAGGGCCACAAACGGCTATGGATCACTGGTAGGAGTATTAGGACGTATAAGAAAAGCCCACACCCGCTTATAATATCCGCACCCGCAAGTCGATGGATAGCTCCTCTCGAGGACTGGACTTTGTTTTCTGGCAAATCGGGGGAAACACAAACACAAAGTACTGAGTCTATCAATAACATCATCAGATAGATCATCGAGTAGAGTGAGGCAGAGCGAAGGAAGGAATGGCATCAGGGTGGGGAATCGCAGGAAACAAAGGCAGATGCTACGATTTCTGGATTGATTTCAGCGAGTGCATGTCTCAATGCAGAGAGCCCAAGGACTGCGCTTTTCTCCGTGAAGATTACCTTGAGTGCCTCCACCACTCTAAAGAGGTCTCTCTCTGTCATTTCTTTATTCAATCCACAGACTTAAAATTTTGTATGTAAATTGTATGAATATGAAACCTGCTCATTTTTGGGTTTTTGTCAAAATCTTAATCCAATGTGGGTTTTTACAATCTCCATCTACTTCTGGCTGTTTGGTATATTGTCAATTGTGATTTTGTTTCGGAATGCTGTATTTTTACTCGATTACTTTCTGATATGTTCTTTTAAAGTGTACTGATCCTGTGTTACTGGTAGAATTTGAAAACTCTTGTTCATTGAGTCAAAGAAAACAATCTAATTGAGAATGCATCCGATATGTTCTTGTCATTTAGACTTTTCCCAATTAGCTATGTCTGCCACACATTGGTAACAACTTTACTTGTTAACACCACTCTTTTCTCTGCTTTTTTTATCTGGTTGAGTATTTTTGCTATTTGGATAGGATAGACTTCTCAATATTCAGATACGTATGCCCCTATGATAACCAATTAAATTTAATGTGTACCTAAGTGATGGCCTAACGGCTATCTCGTAATTTGTGTTAAAGTGAGGTTTATTCTCCTTCGTAACCCCTAGTTGCCACCTTGTTTTTCCAATTAGTTGATTTCTATTCACCCTTACTGCTATTGCATAGAAGCATGTTGGACATTCATTCCTCTCAAGATCAGCTGCCTTACTAGTAAATGATCTAATCAGTTTCAGTTAGTCAAACTGGCAAGCTTGTTGATGAAGTATTTTCCTCCATTGGAGCTCCTTTCTAAGATAAAAGGCCTGCTTTGCTTGACACTTAAATCTGCTTGTTTGGCAATGGTCCACTATTCCTACTCTAGCAATCATGTTAGTTCACTCAAGATTTGTTTCCTTTTGGTTTCTTAGATTTGTCACTTTGACTGAAACCACTGTAAGGCCAAAAGTCGCTTTACTTATTGGCAATGAAAAAAATCGTGATTAGGAGATCATAAATCAAGGGGAAACGGTGGAGTAATTCTTGTGCATGCTTAGTGGTCTAATTTGGCGGGCCAGCAGTGTAGAAAGAATATTGCTCATCAACTCTTGGCATATTGCAAAAATATATTCTTGTAGATTATGGAGCTTTTCCAGAGAGATGCTGCTTCTTAGTTGGAATTTTAGGGGAGATTGGTTAGTGTTGCTTTTAGGAGATGCTACTTGCCGTGCTACTGACTTGCCTAGTCTGGAAAGCAAATGACCACCTGCGTCCAAAGTAGAGTAGCATCCATTGACTTCCTAATTGTCAGGCAGTAAGAATTAAATTAGGGGAGGTTGGTTATTAAACAGAAGCTACAGTGTCGAAATGCATGAAGGATAGGCATCATGTAGGTATACCTCATGAGCATTTGGAGCTGAGTACTTGAGTAATTATATGCCTCCATCAAGCAACCATCCACAGATTATTAAAGACACATGAGAGTTTGTATGTGTTTGGTAGCGTGGAAGCTTTTAAGTCACCACAACTACAGTAAAAAGCATCTATGCTTTGCTCCAACCGATGGCACCAAACCAGCATTACTGTGGTGGTTTAGAAGTCGCAACCCTACCAAATGCACACCTAGAAGACAGAACTCGCGCCATATCTTTGTCTTTTTACCTCTAGGAGTAGCAACTTAAGAATAGGGGTGAGGCCGTGAACTTCAAGGGCTGGGCCTTACACTTGTTTGTTATTTAGTTTATTTTCATTAAGTGTGTTCTTTGGACACTGTTCTATTTCTAATTTAGGTCGTGCCATCTGCTAGCACTTTATGTCACAATTTGAACTTGGAGAGATCATTTTCTCTCTGGCACTTGTACAAAAAAAGTTTGATTTTTGAATAAAATACCGTTTGAAACTTTTGTTTTATTATGACTAATGAAAAGTTTTTTTACTGAAAACAGTAGGGTAATGGGACCTGGTTTTCATAAATCTTGTCCTTACATTTTCTTTGTGGAGCACTAGATTTCTATACTTGACTGGCAAACCCTAGTGAACATATTTTTAGATATTTTGCAGTAACAAGATTTTCAGCTGACAGGCAAACCCCAACAAGCATGTTTCTTATTTTTATCTCTCTGAAAGGGAATTTTGCTGGTAATATCATTGATGGTCATACCTGGGTATCTCTTGCCTTGAAATTAGCTTCAGCTAAAGTTGATCTCATCGTGCTTAGGCTTACAATTTACCATGTCCGATGGTTTTTCCACTTCTTTCAACAAGAACTTCAAGACGACTCAGCTTGCAGGAAATTTTTCAGTTTTGCATCTTCTCTAGTTGCAATGCCAGGCCATCCAAGTTGATGCTATTTGGACCTTATAAGAATTAACTTCTTTTACCTCAAATGCATGTTTTTTTATTGGCAAATGTGTGAAATCTGAATCATGAACTTCTTAGTTATCTCGGTTAGTTCGGCCATTAAGGCTGCTACGATTCAGATTCTTGCTTGGGATCAGTCAGGTATTTGTGGACCAATAGTAAATTGCACAACCAATGAAGGTGAAAGATAACTACCATTAAAGGTGCTGTATTAGCACATTCCAGAATTTGTATGAAAGAAGGCGTCAGAATAACTTGCTTCCAAGTTGGAAATTTTCATTCAACTAATTGGGTTGCAAATGATTGCAGTATCTAGTATTGTGATTTAGCAACTGCTTCCTGTATGGTGCTTTAAAAAAAAAAAAAAATTCTCGTGTCGCTATTTTTAGTGACTTCTGAATGCCTCTTTTTAGATTGTAGAATGGTGGTGTGATTAGTGTTCAGTATAACAGTTGAAATGGAATTGTTTTATTCTTTATGTCTCATGGATCCTGTACTTCATCCTGTGTCCTTTGAGTTGGCTATATTGACCCCAACCATGGTTCTTTTGAATATTTATTGCAGTTTCAACGGAGAAATCGAATTTACAAGGAGGAGCAGCGCAAACTAAGAGCAGCTTCACAGAAAGCCGATGGTGGAGACAGCAAAGATAGCCATCATTGATAGCTATAATTGATTGTCTTTTGGAATTTTAGCAATAAAGATTGCTTGGGGAGATGTTGTACTTTCTGTCATCTGGTACTTTAATGTTGATTAAGTGACTGTTATGGAGATGTTGATTTGAGCTCTTTTTGTTTGTGCAATAAGGCGGAAACTGGTGCATTGTGACATTGATTTGCTAAGTGAATGAATCTGGTATATCGGTTGAAGAGCATTTCCACCTGCATGCACGTATGTAGAAGCAGCATTTTTCTGCAGAGTTTCAGAGCTCCTTTGTTTCTACAATGGGAATTTTCTTTTCCTCCTAGTCAGAAATATTTATACTCTCGAGTACTTTACAGAAGAAAAACTTAGCAGCTTGACAGTGTCGGTTTGATGAAGCCAAGATTTTAGGGCTGTCTTTATCTGGATCTCCATAATAAAAAGCTCTTCATCTATTAGTTACAAATAAATAATCCAAGTGCCTCGTCGATTATGTAGAGAGCATAAATGGGATTTACAAGTTTTCGACCTAGGCTTAAACTTGCGCTATAAACACCCGGAATCTGAAAATCTTTTAAAAGGAACCATTATTCTCTTTTCTTGGTCATTTTTCTATCCGTAGTGTAAAAATATGATTTTGGTGGCCAGTGGCAATTCGAACCAATTTAATTATATGAGAATATTTTTTTAATGCATATTTAAGCAACGTAAATGGAGTAGGTAAAATTGGTTTTACTAAAACTAAGGTTTCTCTTTGACCGGTATATGAGCTGATTTCTTTTACTGACTGTTAAGTTGGTACGATTTATTTATTTTTTTTATGTAAGAAAAAAATATAATAGAATGTATGCACACGTAGCAAGCAAAGAACACTTGTGTCTTTCACATCTATTCACGTGATGATCAAATTTAAATACCTTAAAAAGGAGGTGAATATGTGTTAAATTACAAAGATATCAATGTTGAGATTCAATCTAAGAACTTACACTGAATGAATCTATGCTTTACCATTTAATCTTTTGAAAATTTAAATTGGTGTAATCATAAAAAATTGAGATCAGTAAAAAAAAAAAAAAAAAAATCTTTAATAGTAAATGCTTTTATTTAATTTTCAGCATTATTATATCCAAAGTTACCAACTACAAAAGGAATAATTGAAAATGAAGCATAGACTTGTAAATCAATTCGTAATCTAATTTATTCAAACTTGAGAGATCACACAATGAATGTACCCGACGTTCAAATAGATAGGTTTTTTCCGATAATAAATATATATGGGCAAAGCTCAAAAATATTCCTCAACTATATAGGCAGTTTTTATTTTGTTTCTCAATTTTATCCTCAAACTCTCTTGAATTTTAATTAAAGACTTCCATTTCATTTTTAAGGCTTTCCATATAAATTGAAGTTTTTTTTATAAGAAAACTTAATGTTTTCCCATGAAGTTCTAATTAAGAAATCAAAGTAGGTTGGGAGTAAAATTGCTATAAAAACTAATTTAGGTTCAAACTTGATACTACCCAATAGTTTGGGGGTATATTTTGATGTTTGCTCTAAATATAATTAATTCGCTGTTCTCTTGCAGCCAAATCGTCATTTGAAAAGAAAAAAAAAAATTGCGAACTGGGTTTTAGCGTGGGTTTAGTGTTTTTTGGTTGGCTGCCGCAACCCTTCACACTCCTTCGAAATTCCCCTCTCTCTTTGTCCTAGAAATCCAAGCAGTCGAGCTAGAAGATCGATTTCAACAGGTGAATCTCTCTCTTCTTCTCAAAATTTATTTGTCTTTCTTCTTAGCTTACTTTTGTTCAGGCTGATATTTGTGTTTTGGGGTTTGGATTTTGTGTAAGAAAGACAAGCTTCTGTTAGAAGTAGAAAATACATGTTGCCTACTACTAGATCGAATTTCAATGCCTCAAATTACGGATTTTAAGTCAAATTAGCTAAAAATCATATAGCTCTCGAATCTGTTTCTTTCAAATTATGTAAATAATAATAACCTTAGGGTTTGTTATTATACTCGTTCAATTTTTTTTTTTGTTTTCAATAATAATAACCCTATTATCTCTTTGTTTCTCCCTCATTCAAGGTGCTGTAGCTATTCATTAGGAAGATTCGAAGCTTTGATTAAAATTCAGTTTGTCAGTGTCCGGCAAAGCAATGGCTCGTATACAAAATGTAAGTAAACGATACTGAGGAAAAACTAAACTGATTTTGATTTCTTTTTATCCATGTTTATGTCTTTTCCCTAATGGGTTCATAATTATTGTTGTTGGAATTAACACAGAAAAAGAGGAAGATGTTTGTGAAGCCAATAGCGAAAAAGAAACAGGCCAACGTGGATCATATCACTGGTGATAAGATCCCTAAGAGCTTTGTTTTTGCGAGAGGGAAGTTGCCTGTCTCTCTCAGGCAACTTCAGATGGACTTGAGAAAGTTGATGCTTCCCTATACTGCTCTCAAGCTTAAGGTTAAAGTTTTTTTATGCTTCTTTATTTTCTCAAGCTCCTTTTCTAGGTTTATTAGTTGTTCGTATTGAGAAATACGTGCTGAATTGGTCTCTCTCTGCAGCTTCTACTTGACCGTTTTCCTTAGATGAGAGTGTTTAATCTTCATGTGATTCTATTATAATTTGTTGAATAGACTGATTTGTTTCTTACATTTTGCATTTTGGTTTCAGGAGAAAAAACGGAATAGTCTCAAGGACTTCTTGAATGTTGCCGGGCCTATGGGTGTTACTCATTTCCTTATGTTGTCAAAAACTGAAACTGCACCCTATCTGAGGGTTGCAAGGACCCCACAAGGCCCAACTCTTACGTTTAAGATACATGAGTATTCATTGGCAGTTGACGTTGCTCAATCTCAACTGCACCCTAGATGTCCGCAGGATCTTTTCAAAAATGCCCCTTTGGTAAAAAGAAAATTTATTCTCTCAAGACATGGGCATGTGTGCATTCACTTCACTTTTAGAACTGATTGTTCATTTTAATTCATGGCTGGTTGACTGGATATCACCAGCATTTGGCATGACTCATGACATTTGAGTTAAGTTCTGATCAAGCCTTAAGAATTGGGTTCTAGAGTATAGGGGTTTTTCTGAGCGCCATCATCAGTTGACAGATGGATACCATATGACTCCAAATGAAATTTGAAGGCCATCTGCTTGACCATCTAGACACTAGATGCTGTTTCATTCTCCATTTCAGTAAAATACTATTGGTTTTAAATTTTAAATACATGAGGTTAGGATCAGTGATAAGATTTCAATGCAACGCATATGCTAGTTATAAAACTATGATTGTGGATGCAACCCTGCTGAGTTCGTATTCTTATGTTTAATGGGTGATTGAATTCTCAATTTATTTTCTGTCTCTTCAACTTGTACCTCCAAATATTGATTTGTGTGTTTTTTACAGATTGTTCTTTCTGGTTTTGGGTCTGGAGAACAACATTTAAAACTCACAACTGTAATGTTCCAGAATATCTTTCCAGCCATTGATATTAATACTGTAAGTGCTTAAGCAATTCTATTTAAATGTTGGAATCAGCAAAGATTGTTCTCCCTCCTAATATACTCGTGTGGGATGTTTCAGGTCAAACTTTCTTCTTGCCAGAGAATTGTGTTACTTAATTACAATAAAGACACAAAACTTATTGATTTTCGGCATTATTCCATCAGACTCCAGCCTGTAGGTGTCTCCCGTAGACTCAGAAAGTTTGTGCAGAACCACCAAGTCCCTGATCTTAGAAATCTCCAAGACGTGAGCGACTTTGTCACTAAGTAAGAATCTTTATTTATTTTTGACTTGAAACATAATAAGTAAACATGTGAAATAGAGAATAAGATTTTGGTCAAGTAATCTTTCATGTATTAATTGTACAGAGTAAATTTGTTGGTTGCTAGGATCATGTGGGGACTGCCATAGTTAGGCTACAGTGATTACATTTTTATTTTGTTCATTAATTTGGGATTTTATGTCTTGCTGGTTGTCAATTCTACGTGCATTATAGTATAACTAGTTACATGTTTCCTGTGTTTAGTAGTGCATGTTATCATTGCTAGCATGTCTTAAATAGAGACATGAGAATTTCAAAAGTTATGACATGCTATTAAAAATAACAGAAGAGAGTAAAGAAAAGTCTTGATGGTTTGGTTATAGACTAACCAATCCTTTGGTTGTTGTGCTAAATTGATGGAACATGTTGATTTATTCTACCACTGTCGGCTGGTTTTGAGGGAACATCAGTCATATGGCATTGGGCTTTAGTGTGGAATTGTACCCTAATCTTATTTTGTGCTAAATAATGACCCAGCCTAGTCTAAAAGCATATCCATGCCATAAGCTCGTTATCAAATTGATTAAAAAGAGAAAAAAACAAGCAAAATAGGAAATTAAACTCTGTTTTATAATACATTGTGGTTATTATAGACTAATTTCTCATGTCTCTTTGTTCATCTGTGTGATCTTTGAAGGGCTGGTTATGGATCAGAAAGTGAAGGAGATGATGAAGCAGCAACAGTAACTCTGGCAAATGATCTTGGTAGAGTTAATAAAGCTTCTACAAAAAGCGCTGTGAAGCTCCAAGAGATTGGACCCAGAATGACACTTCAACTTATCAAGATCGAGGAAGGATTATGTTCTGGTGGCATCATCTTCAGTGAATATGGTATGTTTATGTATAGGTTATATGGAATATCCATCATCCAAACTTTTTGGTAATTGCCTTTTTAATTCCATCATATCTTTAGTTTGTTGCTCACTCCTAATCCTTGGTTACCCCCTTTGTTTTCTTTTCTTTTTTTTTCTCTTTGCATACGCATGCAACTACTAACTACATATATATTTGGCTATCAAAGTGGCTGGAGCTCTTTTAGCAACGTACTAATCCCAGGAAATGAGACATGTTAGTCTCGCTTTCATGCTTGCACCAAACAAGTAAAATAGCATAAATCTTGGGCAGACACAAGGTGCCTTTGTGCTAGTTTCGTTTGAATTATAGTTTGTCTCCTGTTGTGAAAGTTTTACCTTTCTTCCACTCCAGTCATTTCCTGTTAAAAAAATTATACTGAACAACGAAGCATTGGACTCGCGTCCTAATCTTCGTTTATTCAGGAACTGCAAGTGAGAAAAGGCAGGAAAAGAATCAGAGCAATGGAGATGATCAAGATGATAATGAAGATATTGAGGAAAATGATGAAGATAGCGACTAGCCAAGTCAGCAATTGGAGTTAATGACAGTAAACATCTGGAGTCACTCGGTGGTGGTGAGAAAGTGGGCACTCTCAACCCAAAGGTGCCCGAATGAGGAGAGGATGCTAATTTACAGTTTTATGAAGCAGTAACACCACTATTTAGTTTATTTGTTTTGTTTTCAGTTATAACGGATGGATGGTTTTTTTTTTTTTCATCACTTTGAAGAAAGTTGTAATTGGTGTTGCTCTCTTTTCCCATGGCCACGGAAGAAGAAAGTTTCTATGCTTTTTTTAAACCTAATCGCTTGAAAAACAAACATTGTATGCGTTCTTAAGGAGTTTAATACTCGGACTTGACACAGTTAACAAAAAGTCCAGTGATAATGCGACCAACAATCTGATTTTTTTGTACCGCTTCACCTAAATCCGGGTCTTCCTCTTGCACAGGGATTTTAACTTAAGAGCATGAAATAGCGAACAGGGCGAGCCAAAGTTTTATACTTTCTATTTTACGGTTTTTTCTTGCCCAAGGACGCAATGGTACTTAAAGCCGTCAATCGACGTGGACAGCTCATAGCAGGCTAAGGCGCTAGCACGCTTAAAACAAAGTTTTCGAAGGTGTCCAAGCATAAAACATGAGAAGTGGTAGATCATCAGCACATAAGAGGTAGTTCGAGAGGCTAAACTAAGGAATGCACGTGTTTGAAGCTATGGCAGTAATAGTCCTGACAATTCAACCTGATCGACCAGAAGGCATTCTTGTAAAAGCTGGGGCTGTAAGCCTTAAATTTAATGGAATGCCTCCATAGAAGGTCAAGCTTGTGAGGAAATTCAATTCCGTGGAGGGAAGAGAACAGAGCTGCCCAATGCTGATCCAGAACTGCTGCTATGCTATTGAAAATTTGTCCCATCGGTGAGCAGCATAAAGAGAAAATGCAAAACTGAAAGGAGGATACACATAAATTATAAGTAACAAAACCCAACAGCGTTCATATGCTATTGACATCGAATGATGGAGATTATCAGAGCAGAAGCTGTTGGCAACTAAATGTACACAGAAAAATACTGCTTCAATAATGGATGGACACCTACATAAAACAACAAAATTCCGAGCAAGGCACTCATGATAGGATGTCACTGAAGTTAACCTTCCATCCTTCCAAATAACAGAAGCCGAAGAATTCAAAACTACCTTTATCTTCTTCATTATAAATTATGTCTAGTCTTCTTTTCCTTAAACCGATTTCCAAAGAATCTCTTCAAATGAAATCTCAAGAGTGTCCAACATATCAGTAAGCATTTTAACATGCAGCTTGACTATTCACAGAAAGCAGTGATGATGATTAACATAACAGGACTGCCTCACCTAAATGTACGTGGGTATGGCCGTAAGCGGGAGCCTTGAGTTTCGAATTCTTGAATAGGAGCATGCACAGAAGGCACTGTTACTTAGCATCATGGGCAGCTCATAGCAGATCAAGGCTGTAGGTGATTATGAAATTATGTAGCCTAGCTAGGACACCCAAATCAAACTTCTTAAAGGTGTCCCACAACATAAAAACAAGCAAATATGAGTGGTTCTAAAAAACAAAGAGGTGATTGTTCTTAGCCAGGTTTGAGAGAAAGAATGAGGAAAAGGAGGAAGGTGGTTGAAGCTGCAACAACAACTCATTCTTGGCAAACCAGTTGATCAGTAGGCTTTCATGTCGAAAGTGATGCTGAAAGCATGAAATATACGAAAGGCCTTCTAGAAGCATCAAGCTTGTAAAGGAACTCAAATCCAGTAGAGGGTGAGAACAGAGCTGTCCAAATGTCCATGCTGCTGCAGTTGAATATTTTTAAGTCTAGTAACTCTAGTTTGCAGATCCTGCCTCTTGGCAAGAAAATTTTGATCGAAACTGAAATAACCCCATCAATACAAGAAGAAAAGATAAGAGAGAAATCTGCGAAAAGCAAAGACCAAAGCAACAGCTTTATATCTAGTTATTCAGTAACTGTAATCTAGCAGTTGCAGAAGTTGGTAACAAAATGGAATACAAAGCGAAAGAAAATGATTCAATAATTGATGGACCTCTAGAAGTAAAACATGAAATCTTGCTCGGTGAACTCCAAAGACGATGTGGTTAATGTTGGCCATAGAAGAAAAAATTGGAACTGATACACACACACACGCACACATATATATTTTGTATTCCAAGTCTATTTTCTTCTTCTTCCTCTCCTTAGACAGATTTCCGAAGAATCTCTTCGGATGGAATCTCAAGGGTTGCTCCAGCATGGTCTTTATCAGGCTTCACTTCTGCAGCAATGATTAATTACAATATCATCATAATAACCGACATGGGGAATTTAACGAACATGTGGAGTGCATAAAAGGGAGTGTTTAAACAGAGACGAGCAATTGGAATGATAGTTGATTCATTACCGTAGCCACCTCGGTCGTTGAGTTTAGCTTGGACGATCATGGTAGCTATGAAATGGGAAGCTTCACGTGCCTCTTCGAGGAGCTTCTGGATCTCAGTCTCGGAGCTTACATCACGATTCTCCTCGAATTTCTTCCTAACCTCGGAGGCTGATGCCTTCAGCATCAGTGAGTCGTCCGCGAATGATTTTCGAGTCGCTCTTAGCAGCGCCCTGTATGCACTCAATGCTTCTCCTCCTCTCACCATCTCTCTCTCCAAGGCCAAGGGTTCCTTGTTGCTGTCGTTTGCACCACCAGCGGTAGCCAAAATACCATTCCAAGTTTGTTGCTAGCACTATACTACGTCGTTTTCTTCTCTCCTTTCTGTTTCGTTTTTTTTATTTACAAATTAGTTCTATTGTGATACGAATAATTTCAATTTGGTCCATAAATTTTTAAAAGCAGGCAAACTCTAGCTCTGCCTCTATATTAGGATTAAACTTAATATTATCGGATTTCATCCATTAATAGAGTTTACTAAAACCGAAACACAAAGCATAAATTAAATTTTAGACAGAAGTACAAGAAAAAAAGAATTTCTTTATCATGTCGTAAATTATAAAGTAAATTAGAAGAGTTGGTTTAACGATTAAACAATTATTTTTTTTATACATTTTTTATTTTAAACTTTGAGATCAATATTACCAGAACTTATTAAAATTCATTGGGATATATCAAGTAAATACGAAAGTTATGTTGTTAAAATTATTTAGAAAAAAAACTTAATTTCAATAAACGTGAAAAATAATTTGAAAATACTGTGGAACTTAACCTAACTACTCTACATGTGTAAATACATTTTCACTTTCATTTAAATTTTTTTTCCCTTGACAAATGTATTTGCTTTTATTTACTTCATCTCTAAAATATTTTAGATTTATTTTCCTTTTTTCCTATGCTTCAAAAAAAAAAAAAAAAAACTAAAATAGTTTTTCAAGGATTCGCAAATAAGTGGGTCCTTAACGAGAATGATGATTCGACGTTACTTTCCACCAGACGATTGAAACAAAGCCGAGGAGTTGCACAAGTTGAAAGCGTAGTTTGCGTGACAGACAATCATTACCGTAATAATACCAGGTATATATTTACTAACCTTTCATTACTCACCCAATCTCTCAAAACCCTAGTCATCCAAGTTGCTCCGATCCTCAAATTCATCGAAAGGTAAGAACTCTGCAAGTTTTCCTCCAAACAAAAACGATAAAACTCTTTGTCTGGTCAAGCTTTCAGAAATTTTACCAGTTTTCTTGTTGTTTCGATTTCACAATGACCATTGTTGAATTGCAATTGTCGATTTCAGGGAAAAAAAATGAGTAGCCGAGCGAGCAGGACTCTCTATGTTGGCAATCTGCCGGGCGATATTCGCGAGAGAGAAGTCGAAGATTTATTCTTTAAGGTAATTCTATCTTCCTTCTTGTTGTTTGGAAATTCGAATGTATATCATACCTTCTGATTTTCACTGCTTGGAATGAAGTAGAATTATCGAACTTCGTTTTCTTGGAAGTTTTTGTTAGATTTTTCGTATGTATGCATAAAATTACCCTTTATCTTGGACAATTATGGCGGATGAATGACAGTTAAGATGCTTGTACTTCTATTTCTTTTCTGTCTTTGGAATTTTATAATGATTTCCATGTCATTGCAGTATGGACCTATTGCACACATTGATTTGAAGATCCCACCAAGACCCCCTGGTTATGCCTTTGTTGAGGTGAGTTTTGGGAATGTGCTTTCTACTCTTTTTTCACCTTTATATGTTGGTTTTCAACTTTCTTTCAAAAAATTTCACAGTTTGAAGAGTCTCGCGATGCTGAGGATGCAATTCGTGGTCGTGATGGTTATGATTTTGATGGGCATCGTTTAAGGGTTGGTTATTTATTGATTTATTGCAACTGTCATAACTGCTGACTAGTTGTTAGTTGTGAGTTGAGACTTGTTTTGTATCTTATGTTCTCACCTGTATCCATATAGGTGGAACTTGCACATGGTGGGCGTGGACATTCATCCTCAGATCGCCATAGTAGTCATGGTGGTGGTCGTGGCCGAGGCGGAGTATCAAGGCGCTCTGAATACCGTGGTTTGTGTTACATTGATGCATTTTGTACCATGATAGATGCTATAATAAGGATAAATTAAGTAGTTAGCACATCATCCCTTTAATTTGAGATTTGCTTCATCATGCAGTTGTAGTCACTGGGTTACCTTCGTCTGCTTCATGGCAAGACCTTAAGGTGGGTCCAAATTCCTCTTTTCTTTTTAAATCAAAATTTGGCAGTATTTCTTCCATGGGTGCACAGGCTTCCCTCTCCATCGGTATCCATTTTGAAATTAGGGTTTTGTCATTTCTTAATGTGTTGTTTCTTACTTAGGGTTAACTTTGATTTTCGCATTTCATGTTTAGGATCATATGCGCCGAGCAGGAGATGTATGTTTCTCCCAAGTGTTCCGTGATGGTAGTGGTAAGATACTTAAGACACTTGAGTCTTGACTTATATCTGTGGTACTGATATGCTATCAGTTTCCATGATATTTGAGTTTCAATTTGCTTGGAATGGATCTTGTGGAGCTAGGATATGTGCTATGGTTTTTTTACTCAATACAGATTTTACATATACTTTGTTTTTTTTCTCTTTCTTGCTTTCTTTTTTAATTGATATTCTCAATTTTGAGAAAATGGACCCGAATTTGTGTTGAGAATTAGGACAATTAAAATAGTTTCATACGGGGCTGTCCTTTTGGATCTGTTCATTGAAATTATTGATTCTAGGGTTGTCACTGGACTGGGTTCTAAAAGTCCAATACCTTTCCTATATAATTGGTTGGGTAGTGTACTGTAGAGAAGCTTGGATCTGTTTATACCATTCTTATTTGAAACCTGCAATCCGTTTGTGCAAAAACCTGGCGTGCATTTATAGTAATCTGATTGCAGAGAACCTTATGAGATATGGGTAGTGTATATATATTCAGTTTTATAGTTTATTGCCAGTTTTTAGTCAAAATTATATGAGTGCATGTTATACATGTAGATTTTCCCTTCAAAGTTTTTGATAGAATGAAAATATATTGAAAAACAAAAAAAAAGGTAGATTATAATTTCAAGCATTAGCTGGATTAGATCGAATTGGATTCAGTAGTTCCTTTTCCAAATCGACTTATAGTATACCTTAATTCTGTCCCATTCTCATTAATTTACTGTTCCATTTGACTTAAAACATGATGATGTTTATTATTTTAATCAATTGCTTTAAACTGCTGTTTACAGGCCTGAACTTTAAGGAAGTTTGAGTTAGGATGGATAACATTATGTTGTTGTGTTATCGTTTTTTTAGGCACCACAGGAATTGTAGATTACACAAACTATGAAGACATGAAATATGCAGTGAGTTTTCTCTCCTATTTTGCATTGACAGTATGAATGATCTCTGAACTTCCCATATGTTTTCTATCAACTTGAATTCTTTGGTTTGTTTTCCTCTGCAGATTAAGAAACTTGATGACTCTGAATTTCGAAATGCATTTTCTCGAGCATATGTTCGTGTATGGTTCAAATTCCTCCTGTACATTATCCAAACATATGCATGCATATGTGTTTTTGTGATATTCATACTTCATTTTTACTTGTAGGTGAGGGAATATGATTCCAAACGGGATTCATCCAGGAGCCCTAGTCGCGGTCGATCTTATTCTAAAGGCCGCAGTGATAGCCGCAGCCGTAGTCGCAGCCGTGGTCGAAGTTTAAGTCAGAGCAGGAGCCGGAGGTTTGTTTGCATTGTTAAAATTCACATTAGTGATTAGTTGGAGTGTAGTTGTTTCTCAACCTTACCATTGTTATGCAGCAAGTCTCCTAAAACCAAATCTACACGTCGGTCACCTGCAAGGTCTCGATCGAGGTCTGTTTCTCGCTCTCGCTCTGGGTCAAAGCCATGCTCTCTATCAAGGTACTGATACATGTTTGCTTAATTGTTGAGGTTTTGATTCTTACTTTTCCATTTTAACATGCATTTTACTTTTTGGTGTGTGTGTAAGAGTGAAGGGGAGAGCAATACATACAAAGATGTGTTTTATTCTTCCTGTCTTGGAAAGCTCCCAATTTGTGATGAAGTTATGCCATGTTTGCATTAAATTGCTTTATGTTTTACCAAGTGGCTTGCACTTGTTTCTGTTGGTCTTCTCGCCTGACCTTGCCTCGCTGTTCAAATATCTGACACTATTCTTTTTTTTTTGACCACCTGCATAACAAAGTTGTGCCTTGCAGTTACAAGTTTACAATTGCTAATGCTATGATAATTTTGCCTGTAGGTTATTTTTACAGGTCAAATTGTGGGTCATAGTTGTTGAAATGTGTTTGAGAGGAGAATTGATTTTGATTTTAACCACAAAAATTAGTCTTGGGATTCATTTTATTCCTGCGTTGTTGTCATCTGAAACCTTTTCACTTCATGATTTGTTTCATTCAGTGGATGGGGTAATTGGAAAACAATTCGGATTTTCAAACCATCTTTATTTATTTCTTTTTACTGTATGAAAATTGCCTTGTTTGATATATTGCAGTGACCTGGGGATTGGATATTAGGATCTTGATGGGATATGGTTCAGTTCCTGCATCTTTTTTTGGGTTGTAGAGGTATGCTGTTTTTCAGATGGCAGCTTTGGAAACCTTCATAGTGTCACTGTTCTAATGTATTTAGCATAATAATGTCCATGGGTGCTAGATTGGGAACAAAGGAGATTATGCATTGCAATAATAAGGCTGGATTTCAGTGAACTAACTGCCAGTGGATCTGGAAGTCTGGTCAGCATTGATCGGTAGAAACTGTCATTATCTTTTTCTACTCCAACTATTGCCAAGCTATTAGGACCTGCTGGCTGGACTCATTGTGGATTTTCCTGTACAGCAGGGAAGCATGCTTCTGTCCTGTCGGATGGTGTTTTCAAACACATTATGATTCTTTAATTAATATCTATTAATTTTTTATTAGGTATTTTATTTAGGTCTTATTTTTAAGAAATGGTGCCTGATTTGTTTTTCTTTTTCTTTTTTCTTTTTTTTTCCTCTTGAATTGCAAAAGTTTGTATATAATCCTTTATGAATGTGGTAACTCTGACGTGGAAGAGGCATCAAGGCTCTTGGATGAGAGTTGTTAAAAGGAACGTGTGGATTTTAAATTTGGCTTGTTTCTGGAACTTTTGCAGATCCCGTTCAAGATCAAGATCTCCACTTCCACCTGTAAGTTATTTCTCATGTAGGTTTAGGCAGATATGATGAAACCTGTTTCTTTTTGGATCATCCTGAACTAGTAGTTGTTTTCCTAGTTGCCTTGGCTATGGAATTAAATTGTTTTTAAGATGAGTTCCCAGGCAGTGTAACTGAATTTGGACCCTTTGTCATGTTGGTAGTATAATAAAAGTAGGCCTTCTTGCACCTGTTACTTGGATGGACTCATTCTCCTTCCTGGTCAATGATCATTCTATGGTTTTAGACATTGTAGTTAAGTGATGCCTGCCTGCCATGAACATTATATCATGTATTCTTTTGTTATTATTGGTGTTCTGCAGCGTCAGAAGCAAAAGCGCAGTGTTAGCAGGAGCCCCAGTGGCAGCAGAAGCAGAAGCAGAAGCAAGAGTTTATCACGGTCTTGTCCTTTTCTGCTAATTTATTCTTTGGTTGCTGATATGTGTAAGACATATGTTTTGATTGCCGACCCTTTGTTGTACTCAAGTATTGACTTTGATAATTGCAAATTTGTTGGCAGGTGAAGTGATGATAATGACTTATCCTTGGACGTTGATTCAGGAAAGCTGAAAGCATGTGGTTTGAACTTTTGAATGAAGAAAGTATTAAGCGAACAGGAAAAGAGTCATGAACCAAATATGTTTTATTTTACTGAGTGTACTATGTTCAGATTCTTGTGCCTCTGCCGTTTCTTAGGCCTGATTTGGACTGTCTGTCTGAATTGTTTCATTTTCCTGGATGGATTCTATTGGCTATAATAGATTTGATTTTCCGTTATTTGGATGGGATATTTTTTCTCATTTTTTGATTGCACGGTGAGTACAATATGGGATGGAATTGTCAAAGCCAGCTTATATTTTCTGCACCTCTATGGGGGATTGGTATTGGAGTCTGCCGGACATGTTCTAGCTGATATATATATGTTAGAATTTCCCATCTCGATAACGGGGAATTGATTTTTAAGAATTTTATTTTTGCATGGGACCAGGGAGGGGTTTTTTGACCGAGGATTTTGAACAGTGAATTGAAAGTAGCAGCAGTTCGAGCTCCTTGGCAAGCTTCTCTACGTTACTGGGTTGTTTTTTCATTCTTGGGGTAGAAATCTTTCTTGGAGCTGTGTGGCAGACAGGTGATAAGGGACACGTGAATGCGACCCCATGTCTATGGTATTAAGTGAAATGGTTGACTAGTGGTGTGCCTGTGTTTGTGTTGCCATGGTTTTGCTGATATATCTACTATAGTTGGCGAAGGGGAAGCCCAAACATCTTCTCTGTTCCACATTGGATCTCCACCACACACACACTCCTCAATAATGAACTCCGTGTAGAACAAGACTGGACTGCGTCATTGAGATGGCTCTCTGCTTGTCAATGGAAATGCTAAGGGTGTATCTTGATGGGTAAAGGGATATCATGATGTGCTTGCATCGGAAAGGTGGCTGTGTTCTATAACAGAATAATTTAGATGCTGCATCGAGCAATAAATGAGTTTTTTTTTTTTTGGATGGTATGTTTATTTTTGAGATTGAGAGTTTAAATTTTATTTGTTTTAATTTATAGTAGGTGACATATTTATGTTTTCTAGTATGATTTAAACAAGATTTTATGCATTGATTTTTCCAAATAAAAAATTTAACACAATTGGAACATAATGTTTTCTATATATATATATAGCTTACCTGCCTTTCTATTTTTTCATCAAAAAAAAAAAAAGCATGAAATCAAATTTATCTGAGGACAGGAGTATCATTTTCATGCAAATCAGACAGTTGCCGAATTCGAAGGTTCTGTTTTAAGATGGGAATATATGACCATTAATAATGGCTTGAGTGGTGCAAGTGAGGCCTTCCCATTTCGAGTTCAAATTTCCTTATTCCTAGTTTCAAATAAATCTCATTTGTAGACGATGCCTTATAATCTTTTATGAAATATGTTATTATTTTTATTAATATTTATTGAGTTTTTTTTTTAACATGTGTTCTAAGTAGACACAATAAATATTTTAATTTTCATAATAAATAATATTTAAATTACAAATTAGGAAAAATGAATATTTTACTTATATCAATTAATGTGTATCTTTTAAAATACATGTAGAAAAATTCCATATTAACTTAATCAACTAATTAGAAAAAGCAATATGCGTGGCAATAGGATGCTACATAGACTACACAGTCACGTCACCATCCATAAATAGTAGTAATATCTCCTCCAAACCAAATTGCTCCACAGCCACATGATTCTCTCAAAACGATAACAACCCTCCTCCCTCTCCCTCTGCCTGCAACCCCAGCCCCCAAGAAATCCTTCGATTCATTTTCAACAAATTCACAATTGTATTAGAGAAAAGACTACCTAGAAAATAAAAACCAATCCAAACAAACGCCCCAGACTTCCTCTTTTTCATTTTTAGATTAAAAAAAACCAAGAAGAAATGACCGAAACTACGGTTTTCTCGAAAGTCTCAGACGACGTCGTACTCAACATCTTCTCCAAACTAGAAGACGATCCTCGCAACTGGGCCCGCCTCGCTTGTGTCTGCACCAAATTCTCCTCTCTCATACGCGATATCTGCTGGAAATCCAAGTGCAATAAAACCATCCCTTCCGTCGTCGCTGATCTCCTACCCTCCCCTGACTCCTCCTTCCCCGGTGGCTGGTCTGCCCTCCACAAGCTCGCTGTCTGCTGCCCTGGCCTCCTCCACGCCGGTGTCCTCCTCGAGCACTCCGATTTCGGCCTCGAACGCGAGCTGGGCCCCGACGATTATATGCACAAATCCAAAATCACACCGTCCCAACCCCAACACCCTCAACAAGCGTCTCCTTCTATTTCTAATTTAGAAAACTGTGATTCCTCTTGGTCCTTATTCGATGATTTATATTACGACACCGTTTACAACGTATCCGACTCACAGGATGGTGCTACTACTAGTGGTGAAGGGAATGGAGAGGTAATCGGTGATAATGATGATAAAAGAGTTGATGTTGGTGGTAAGGCGGGCGACGATTTTTCTGTTAGCAAGAGAAGGAAAGTTTGTAGATCTTTGAGGTCTCATTTGGCATCTGGGGTTTGGAATTTGAGCAGAGAACAAGGGAATAAACTATTAGCCAGTCGGTTTCGAGGGGATTGCTTGTACATTTGTGATTGGCCTGGTTGTGTGCACGTTGAAGAGAGGAGGAATTATATGCTGTTTAGAGGGATTTTTAAGAATTTTCAGAAATCGAGGGTTTGGAGGACGATACATGATGGGAATAGGAGCAAGATTGATTTGAATTGTGCGTTTTGTGCATGTAAGGAGACTTGGGATTTGAATTCCTCGTTTTGTTTGAAGAGAGGGTATGGGTATCATGACGATGGCGAGCCTGTTGTTCGAGCTTATGTTTGTGAGAATGGGCACGTCTCCGGTGCTTGGACTGATTGGCCATTGTACACTTGATGATGCTGTTTAGAGCTTGCTTCTTGTTTTAATGTTTCTTGGTGTTTCTATGATTGTAGGGGTTAAGATTGATTTGAATTGGCTAAGTCTATTGATGTTATGTCCTTTTTTTTTTTTTTTAATGCTATTGTTATCTCTTGTGTTGATGTAATGCTAAGTTCTGATAAATGTTTGTGTGTTTTGAATAGAGAGTGTTTGCAATTGCTGGTGCTATAGTTTGTTTAATAATTTTGTTTCTGTTTATAACTTCTTTTTTTTTTTTTTTTAATAACTTTTTAAATGAGTGTAAGATGAGCAGACTGGTTCAACAATTTTGTTTCTGTTTATATGTGCTATCTTAATTGTGTATTTGGTCTTCCTTTATGGAACGAAATTTAGTAACCCAGTTAGAAACAATGAGAAATGATGATTTATCTTTAAATTTTTGTTCGATGTATTAATTGGTCAGCATTTGATCCAATTTATCAAACATTACTTCCGGAGTTCATTTTGAGAGATGGTTTTGGATGAGATTTCTGAACTATGGGCATATAGTTATATGAGAATATTATTTATGGAGCTGCAAAAGTTGGACGATATAACAATTTGCCTCCACGTCTGCGGCTTCCTTGCTCGGTCAGTCTGAGACTGCCGACTCTCCATACCCAAAAGATCATTGAAGCAAAGATTTGTTGGACTTTATATTAAGAGCCCTTGATGGAAGATGTGTTAAACAGATAGCTAGAATGTGTATATTTGGGAGATCTTTCTAGTGAACATGATAAGGGAAAAAAAATTTGATAATCCGATCTTAATCTTTTTGAGTATTATTGATTCATGACCTTCCTTCACTAAGTTACTTTTGATTCGAGTTTTTGTTAAGTGATTACTTTGCTAGAAGTTCTATACAAATGCTTAGACAGCAAAAGTAGGATTATATTCATTAAAAAAAAAAGGATCATGATGAGGGAAGGATGTTCAATGAACGTGATTAGATCTATACCAGAAGGAAGTGCGCTTCACTAAGTTCTGAACATGCCATTAAATTAAGGACTCCGTGAACAGATGGCTTGAATGGATGGTTACATGATGGCTCCAAACCCCGAACAGGATATTGTATTTCTCGATGTGCTGAGAAATCCCTCCTGCTGTCGAGGCTCAAACTATTGGTACTTTATGAAGACGAAGGATGTGTTTCCGTTCGGCTTTAAAAATTTGGAGTCAAAACATTGTTACAGGCTTGCGGCAATTGAATGTCGTGTCAATGCTTAATGTATCATTCCCAACTGGGATAGAAACCAAACGCTAAAAAGATCCGGATGGCATTAGCCACTATAATGATCTCCTATTAGTCCTCTCCTCGTTGAACCAACAATGCATGTCTGGAGTCTGGACATCCACTGCTGTCATAACGTGTATACGCATCTTCAGGAGATATCATCTGATGCAAATGACCATCCAGGACAGATTAAATTAAAGAAAAACGGAGTCCGATATAGAAAAGCAAAAAGAAGAGGATCTTCGAAGATACAGATTTGAAGAGATTTCACACTTTAAACTTCGAAGACCACTCTGCCTGCCCAACATCTGGTAATAAGTTGCGGATCTTCTCATGCATCAATGCTGTATCTTATCATATCAGGTCAGTCCAGCTCGTCAAATATGGTGCCTGACATTGGGAGGTAACGGATGTTTTAAGTCTTACTACCAGCGCAGGTTGCTTTAAATGCCAATCAATCTAGATCAGTCCCTTTCCGCCCCACCGTTTGGTGTCTGGATAATCATTGAGATTTGAGAATATTGCTCCTTTTCTCTTTTGGGAAAGGCAAGCCTTATTGGGATCAAAGTCCATTTTGTGAAGTCAATAATTTAGGAGTTAGGACTGTTAGCAAGAATGCTGAGGTTCCCTTTCCTGCTTATGGTTTTCCTTCATTTACCGCTGGCAGTCAACAGTGCTAATAGATATTGCAGAAAGGACTTTACTTTGCTGGCGGTACTTGACCAGTTGACCTTACTTTCAATTTTTATTTTCAAGCTTGGAAGTTATTTAGAAGAAAACTTTCATCTTACCCACAAACTGCGGACATGTTATTGTTTTAATTAGACATTAATTTCCCTGTTATTGGAAGTTCACATTACATGTTGCTATATAAACTGTTGTTATGGGCTCAACCCTGTTGTTTACCACGGAACTGTATTGGTCAAATTGAATACAAAATGTTTCGGTTCTCTTAAAAGTTTGAAGCATTGATCATTGATTTAGTATATCGACAGAGCGTTGCAGCTATGATTGTCAGATTTATGATGGTATTGTTTTTCTAACAATTATTTCAGGAAAGGTGCATGGAGCTACTGGATACATAGCGTGCGATGGGTATCACAAATAGAAGGTGCATGCCTCCACTTGCACAATCATCAAACCAATTTCAAATATTAGTCGCGGAATACAATGTTACAGGAGTATGGCTGATGTTTGCATAGATTTTCATATTTTGTGTAGGAAAATGTCCAACTAATTGTTAGAACATGTTTAGATGCCTATCGTTTTTCCATCTCATGGTCGAACTTATACAAGGTATGAATTCTAAACTGTAACTATTATGAATCAACAGCTAATTGAGCATTTATGGTTCTTTCCACCACACTTTAAAAATCATGTTATTGCTTTCAGATGGAAGAGGACCTGTGAATCGAAAGGGCGTATAGTATTACAACAATCTCATCAATGAACTTATCAGCCTTGGTCGCAACCGAAGTTTTCAAATTAGTGGAAGTCTGGAAGGCATTTTGGAAGTATCTTTCAGTTGCAGCCAGCACAAGAGCTTCCAAAATGCTAGCCAAGCTGTACCTTCAAAATGTTCTATTTTCACTTCGGTTATATTCTTCTTCTTATTATTGCTTGCCTCTTGATCAAGCAGGAATCTCGCCACATTCTTCATCACACCATTATGACCATCCGCATGCACTTGAAGATGAGTATGGTGGATGGGTTAGCCGAAAGATTGTGGATAATACTTGATTGTTGTCTGTTCCTTTCTTTCGATATGGTTGATTTACATTCCTTCCAAATGCACAAATGAGGGTGATGGACATTGCTAAATCTGTTTTGTATGCAGGAAAGACTGCATAGATTATGCAGATGTGTGGTTCAAACTTCAAAGAGTTTGGTGATATATAGGATTCCATATTGGACTACTATGAATGAGCCCAATGCTTTGGCAGTTGGTGGTTATGATGGGGGATTTCTGCCCCCTGGAAGATGTTCCACTCCATTTGGAATTAATTGCTCCATAGGTAATTCGTCATCAGAGCCATACATGGGCACTCCATGATATGTTGCTGGCACATGCATCAGCTGCAAAATTGTCGAAGAGTATCAGGTAATCCCATCTCTTGGAGACTTGGACTCATCTTACGTACATGGAGTTGAGCAACTTGAAGTATGCTGCTCCTCATTCTTATAGAATCCATGTTATTGTGATTGGACATTGAAATGCACGGTTGCTCATTAATTCTTTAAATGTCATTTCTAGAAACGCTTTTATTTTCTGGCTCACAAGTATCCGTCCCCTTTCTTTTCTTTGTTTTCTTTCTTTTTTGTCTTGGGTTGGGTGTTCATCCACTCTTTTGGGAGTTTTGGTCTGAAATAATAATGTCCCGCTAAAGCCAGTGCATAAGTTTGATGAAAAAAAATACTGTTTTCTTCTATCGCAAGTTGTGAACACTGCTTAACATAATGAAGTTAACTAAATATAGAAGTCAATTTAGAGACAAAAACTTGATGATTTGCATGAATATGTTAGTATCAATGATTTCAGAGTGATACGCTCTAATACAGAAGAGCAACATGGATCCACAGGGCTCAGCATTTATTCTCCCATTCCCTACCTTAACTAGTCAACAATTAATCTTATTTATAAGTTTTAAGATTAAAAAAAAAACTAAAAATGGTTAGAAAAAAATTCATAAAAGTTTACATCAGCTTTTCAATTCTTGTTATCATGCATAATAATAGTAATTTGAATCTCATTAAACAATATGATTAGTATTAAAAATAAAAATGATTTGAAAATAAGAATGATCATGGACATTCATTATTTCATAACATTTTTAAATTTATTTATAATTTTGATTTTTTTATTTTATTTTTACTTTGTAAGAAATATAAAAAGAAAACATTAATAAATAATTTGAAAAAATTAATAAGAAAAAAAGATATTTTTTGAAACAAAATAACATTAAATTAATTACAATCAATACTAATTAAGGAATAGTTAATCATTTTTTAAATTAAAAAACTATTTGATTTATTTTTCAAAATTAAAAGGATTAATTTATAATTTACTCGATATTAGGGTGAATAAGTTATAAATTAGTCTTTCTATTTTTTTAAAATGAATTAATTAGTCTCTATTTTTAAAACTAATGATTTAGTTTTTTAACAATTACTGAAAATATTTAATTTAATATTATTTTATTTTAAAAAAAATGTCATATTTACTAATCCTTCTATATTTTCTACTTTTTCATTTCTTAAAATAAAATATAAATATAAATATAACGAAAAAAAACTCTGTTATAAGAACATTTAAAAATATAAAAATTAATTAATTAGTTTTTGAAAAAAAAACTAATTAATTCATTTTTCAAAACTAAAAAGGTTAATTTATAATTTACTCATACTGAGACGTGAGTTTTTTTTTTTTTAGCTGCTTCTCCCCAAGAAAACGACACTTCAATCTCGATGACCTTTTTGGGTCCTCAAACAATTTATTGGCAATAATTGATGTCTGAAATAAAGCTGGAAGCGGCAAAGGTATCTGGATGGAGATGCCCTTGTTCTGTGGTTGGAAGGTCGTCAAGGAACATACTAGTACGACTTAAACAAAAATTACAATCACAAAACCAAGAAGGAACTGTTGTCTGATTATCTCTGATTGAGTCAAACCATTACAGGCGAGGATGTTGAGGCTTTCTTTCTTGCTAATTATTTTGCTGATCGGTCCTCTCGCACTTCCAGTCTTGAGTACTGATGAATATAGTAGGGAGGATTTCCCGTCAGGTTTTATATTTGGTGCTGGATCCTCAGCTTATCAGGTCGGTTAATCAAGTTTTGCATGCTTTCAGTTTTCGTACTGATGTACAGCATAAGGTACTTCACTTGTTAAAGGACAAAAGACATGGTTTATAATCCCATAATTCCCTTTGGTGAATTAGAAAATAGAGTTTAAAAGATTGTCTTCATCTTAAATTACTTGAAAGGTGGAAGGAGCAGCAGATGAGGATGGGAGGAGTCCTAGCGTATGGGACACCTTTGCTCACGAGGGTCAGTTTTTTCTTCTTCTTCATGTCATATTAGTTTGAGCTTCTGCTTACTAAGATTTGTCTTAAAGGTTCATGCATACTTGAGTCGCGATGGCTTTGCTTGTGATTTAGCGGTAAATTCAGTCATAATGAGTGATTAGAATTTTTGGATTGAATTTTTCATTCCCAACCAGCCGGTTTATAGTCTGGCGGCTATCATTATCAAGATGTGATTAGATGGCTGATTTTCTAACTAAATATCCAGGCAATTTGCACGGTGCCACTGGAGATGTAGCAGTTGATGAGTATCACAAGTACAAGGTGCAGAGCAATTAAAACGACAATTAGTTTCTTGTAGCTGCAATTTTCAATCATTACAAAGAAGCCAGTTATAGTCTATTTGTGATTAAGTTTTATTTATTTTGTGTAGGAAGATGTCCGAATTATGGCTCAAATTGGGTTAGATGCCTATAGATTTTCCATCTCATGGCCAAGACTTATCCCAAGTACAGTTTCCTAACAGTTAATCACACGAAGAAAACAAAAATAAAGCAGTTTCTTTTAATCATAGTCCAATTGTTTCTTTGTCAGATGGAAGAGGACCTGTCAACCCAAAGGGTTTACAGTATTACAACAATCTCATCAATGAACTCATTAGACATGGTCAGCGCAAAAGTTTCTTAATAACTGAAGTTTTCTTGCTGTTTTGGTAGAATTTTCAGCAATACATCTTTTTAGCTTTAACCAACATCTATATTCTACGAAGCAGGAATCCAACCACATGTTTTACTGTACAATTACGACCACCCACAGGCACTTGAAGATGAGTATGGAGGATGGGTTAGCCGAAAGATTGTGTATAATACTTGAATCTTATTGGTCTTAAGTTGCTTTTCTGTGCCAACCGCCAAGTTCTTTTTCTGCATCAAATACACAAGGCATGTGGAAAATATGAGCAAATATCTTTATGTGGATGCAGGAAAGATTTCACAGCTTATGCAGACGTGTGCTTCAGAGAATTTGGTGATAGAGTTTCACATTGGACAACTGTAAATGAGCCCAATGTCTTAGCAGTTGGAGGCTATGACATGGGAATGATGCCACCTAAACGGTGTTCTCCTGCATCTGTATTTAACTGCTCTCAAGGCAACTCTTCATCTGAGCCATACTTAGCAGCTCATCATATGTTGTTGGCACATGCATCGACTGCAAGATTGTACAGAGAAAAGTATCAGGTGTTTTCTCATCTTCTGCATCAATATAGTCTAGTAAATGTTAGCCATCATTAAAGAAAAAAATGGCAATGCAGGGAAAGCAACTTGGAGTTATAGGGATCAGCCTCTTTATTTATTGGCTTATCCCTCTAACTAACTCAACTACGGATGCAGTTGCTACTCAGAGAGCCCAAGACTTCCTTACTGGTTGGTAAGTGAAGTTGGAGGAATTGCTAGTCTTTTTAGGACTAGGTGTGGAAATTTATTGAAGCTCTTAGCTGAAGCTCTCTTTTTCTTGTTACAGGGTTGCTGATCCCTTGGTGTTCGGAGACTATCCCATCACAATGAAGAGAAATGTAGGCTCTAGACTTCCAGCCTTCACCAATCATGAATCTAAATTGGTGAAGGGTTCAGTTGACTTCATAGGACTGATACATTATCAAGCAGTTTATATCGAAGACAACTCCATCAGCCTGGAACAGGAAAATAGAGATTTCAATGCAGACATGGCAGTAATGATAACTCGTATGTTGTTGATTACAATTACTAGACTTGTTAAGGGCTTCAATCTGTGAAAACTCTAGTAACTAAATGATTTTGGTTTCTGGCATTGCAGTAGATAATTCATCAGTATATGAGGTGAGGATCCTTCTCCTTCTCTTTTCCTTTGTCAGGGAACATGGTTGGCACCGATATATGATTCATCTTGTCGCTTACTAGCTCTTTCTGCCTTAGTTTGCTTTAAGGCCTCGGAATCTGCAACAAATACTAGAGTACTTCAAGAATGCTTATGGCAACCCTGCTGTTTATGTCCACGAGAACGGTCTCTCTCTCTCTCTCCATGCTAGATCTTCTGCAAAAGAATTGCACTGTACAATGCATTTTTGGGTTCAGTGCTTTGGGTTCCAAAACATAGGATCCTCAACATTGATCTTTATCACACACATATGCTCTTGGGAATAATTTAGTTGCTCTTGCATGATTTACTGCGAGTATTAATGGTACTTAATGCAGGACGTCAAATCGTTTTGTGCATTAATTTCCAAACTACAGTTAATTTGGTTTTTCGAACATGCATGTCCTATCATATAATTGAACTCCGTGTGACATTTTTTGGCAGGCCAAAGGACCCGTCGGAACTCATCTTTGGAAGACCCTTCAAGGGTGAAGTACTTGAATGCTTACATTGGAAGTGTGCTTGATGCAATAAGGTTTGTCTGCAAATTTTGTGCTTCTTCTAATCTATGAACGGTAGTTGTCTATGGTATAGGTTCATAATCCTTTCATTAAAGGATTCTTTCTGTTGGTTTGTTGGTATGAACAAAGTGCTAGAGATTTTATCTGTATGATCTAATCCCTCTCTCTGTCTCTCTTCCATGCTGGAAAATTTTGACATTGAAGGAACGGATCAAATGCTAGAGGGTACTTTGTATGGTCCTTTTTAGACGGACTCGAGTTATTGGATGGCTATGAATCGAGCTATGGCCTGTATTATGTGGATCTGGACGACCCAGACTTGAAAAGATACCCCAAGCTTTCTGCACATTGGTACTCCCACTTTTTAGAGGGAAGAAGCGTCGGTTCTGATTGAATTATTGACCTCAAGAAAAATTTATCAGAGCAGGTCAATATTTATGTGAATGCATAGACTGCTGTTCTCTTTTCGAGATCAAAAGTAAAAATTGGAAAGGTTTTAGTAAGTTGCTTGTAAGGGAACAAAAATCTATCGTACTGTGACCAAGAATTAGCTGCTTTCATCTCTGTCTTTATAATTTTGTGTGTCAAAGGAAGTTATATGTTGTAAGAGGTAGAATTGACAAAAGCTTCTTGCTTTCTTAAGTTAACAGCATGAATTCGATGTAATGCATGGATTTGGATTCCAAAAGATTTTATGGTTTTAATGCATGCATTTGAACTTTGATTTTTTTTTTTGGATGTTAAATTACTACCATGTTAGCTTGAATATATATATATAAGAATGGATATGAAAGCTAGTGATAAGAATTTACTTTGAATTTATAGATTAAAGGACCAAACTAAAGAAAACTTTTAGTCAATTTCAGCACTAAATTGAAAACTTTTAAAATCTGGCAACCATATTGTATTCATTCCTTTCATATGCAAGGAGGCAAGTTATACCTGTGTCAGTGTATGATTTCATAAAATCGATATTTTTTCCTATTACTATTAAAATATAGGATTTTATGAATATAAAGGGTAGATGTTTAATAACTTCCAATTCAAATAAATGCATGATAAATAAAAATAAGATAAAAGAATAATAAATTAAATGATAAAACAGTTCCGGAGTTGGAAAAAAGATTTTTAAAGAAACAGGTTAATGTTAAATTCCTTTATATGAAAAAAAAAAACAATAGTTTGTATTATGTGTTTAAAACAAACAAAGGTCTTTTCCAAATAAAAGTAAGGTTTCATTCTTTTTTTCGTATGTCTATAAATACATATAGATCATTTGAAAAATTATTAATTAGATTAGAATTTGTTTGTATTGGATAAAACTTTGGTAATTATTTTTAAATTTCATATCAGAACTTAGTAAAAAAAAAATTGACTCTTGAATGATAGATTAAAAGACAAAATTAAGATTTTAATCCTATGGTTCAAATCGATGGTGTGATTTCTATGATGGTCCCCACCAATTTATTGGCCATCATTAATTAAAGTGTTAAATGAACTTTGAGGCGACAAAAATGGCACGTACAAAAATCTGGATAGAGACCCGCTGATTTTGTGGCTGGAAGGTCTTAGATGGCAATGGCACGTACAAAAATCACGATCGCAAGAAGACGAAAAAGGAACTACTGTCTCTGTCGACCGCTTGTCTCTGATTAAAGTTAAACCATTACAATTGAGGATGGTGAGGCTTTCTTTCTTGCTAATTATTTTGCGAGTAAATCGTAAATTACTCCCTCTAGGCTTTAGCTTTGAGGAAAAAAAAATTATTTAATATTTTTTTTTAGTCTATTCTAAGCTTTTCTTTAATCTGTTGTGTTTATATATATATATATATTATGAAAAGATAGATGGAAGAAAAAAGATATTTTTTAAAAAATATATAATAACATTAAATTAAATGTGATTAATATTAGTTAAAAAACTAATTTTAAACAAAAAAAAATTAATTAATTTGTTTCTTAAAAGTAGAGGGACTAATTTATAGTTTACTAGTTATTTTGCTGCTCAGTGCTGTCGCACTTCCAGTCTTCAGTCGCGATAAATGTAGTGGAGAGGATTTCCCACCAGGCTTTGTATTTGGTGCTGGATCCTCTTCTTATCAGATCAAGTTATTGCATGCTTTCTACTTTCGTACTGCTGTACATAAGGCAGTTCAGTTGTCAAGGATTAAATACAGGGTTTATAATCCCATAATCCCCTTTGGAAATTTTTTTTTTTTTTTTTTTTTTTGTGGCTCATCTTGTCACTCACTGGTTCATTCTGACTAGATCTGTTTGCTATAAGGCCTTGGAATCTCCAACGAATACTGGAGTACTCTAAGTATGCATATGGCAACCTCTTGTTTATGTCCACAAAAAGGGTCTCTCTCTCTCTCTCTCTCTCTAGAGTTGCTGTACATAGCGCTTTTGGGTTTCAGTACTTTGGGTTCCAAAGCATAGGATCCTCAATATTGAAATATGAACGGAAGTAGTAGTAGTTAGTTGCCCCTTCATATACAAATGCACTTGTGAATGAATGTGTGCACAATTTTAATTGCTCCGATAGTTGTAACAAAATTACTTATATATATATATTGGAGTATTAAGAGTATTGAATGCAGGACATCGAATCATTTTGTATGCTAATATCCAAGATACCATTGATTTTGGTTTCTGAACATTCATGTCCTATTAATATAATTGAACTCAGCATCCCCTTTTTGAACCCATCTTTGGAAGACCCATCAAGGGTGAAATACGTGCATGCTTACATTGGGAGTGTGCCTGATGCAATAAGGTTTGTTCACATTAACCTACACAACTGTTCATCTAATGTTTACCATTTCTGAATGTTGCAAATTTGCATTGCTAAATCCATTAACTAGCCGGATTCTAGAAGTTGATATCTTTTGAATCTCGGCTTTGTAACGTGAAAATTGCATAGAAATGACTAATCCTTGGTTTCCCTAGCTTCAAAAAATGAATTGCAATATCATAAACGATCAGTACAGAAACTCTGTAATTTAGACTATTTTGTTTGTACTTCTGAGCTGGATTGAAAATGCTTTTGCTTGATAACCATGTTAGCATATAAGCTAGTAGAAGGCCAATAGATAATCTTCTGTAATGATCCGTTCCGCTGATGGTCCTAATCTACCTAAGGTAGTTCGCATTGAGTTGAGCAGACATCTGATGAATTGAGCTGACTGGTCGGATCTTAAAATGCACATCTTGACTATGGGGTCTAGACATCACTTCCTTTTGCTGCTATGCAGTCTAGATTTTTCCGTGATTTGGCCTTCAGGGTTCGGCAGTTTACCAAGTGATTTGGCTCAAATTTTGTGCTTCTCTTGATCTGTGAAATGGTACTTATACTTGCTATCAGTTCATATAACTAAAGGATTCTTCCTGTTGGTTTGTTGGTATGAAGCAAGTGCTTGACATTTTATGTGTATGATCTAATTTGCCATGGACCATGCTGGAAATTTTGACATTTAAGGAACGGTTCAAATGCCAGAGGGTACTTATGTATGGTCCTTTTTAGATGGACTCGAGTTCTTGGGTGGCTATGAATCAAGCAGTGGGCTGTATTTTGTGGATTTAGACGACCCAACCTTGTAAAAGATACCTCAAGCTTTCTGCGTATCGGCACTCCCACTTTTTGAAGTGGAGAAGCGTCAGTTTGAATGGAATTATAGAACTTGAGAAAAATCTATCAGGTCCCTTCATGGACACTAGTTTCAGCAGGTCATTAAGCACAGTATGTTTTTTTTTTAATTGGAAGGCTTCAGTTATTTGCCTGTAGGGGAATTAGCTGCGTTCGTTTCTCTTTACCATTTTCCAAGCATCGAAGGATGTTTACACTTATATTAGTAATATAGAAAACTAGTTCCAAAATACAAAGTGAAATGTCTATAGATATTGCGAGTTGCGACTACTTGTGACTATGGTACCCTTCTCAAAGGCTTATTGCAATTTTGAAACTAACAGCCTATGTACTCGTACTTTTCACTTTCAATTGCAATCTAAAGTGACTAGAATTTCAACATTTTCTGCAAACCACCTGATGAAAATCTGGAGCAGTTCCAACATTCATCATCCAACTAAAATTAGGTTTCTTAAATCTTAATGACTTTTGCAGGTCTTATTTTCATGTTTTTTGTTTTTGTTTGTCTTTTTTTTTTTTTTTTTTTTTTTTTGCCTTGAAAATTGAAACATCAAGGTTAACTACAAAATTTCCTCCTATACATAGGGTTGTTATCAATTTCGCGTTTTACCGAGCATCTCCAAATTGAGGGATGGGATTGGTACAAGGCAACATCGATAACAGCCATATAGATGAGGGGTGTTTTTGGAGTTAAACACAAATTATCAATTTAGCCCGCACATGATGCTGGTTTGTTTTCAACAAGTAAAAACCAAAGACCCAAAAGCAGATACATAGAATGTACCAATACTAGTATAGACAGATACTCGTATAACAATACCATGCAGTACAAGAAATACACGGAACTGGAACAGACAGTATAACCCATCATGTTTATTTGCCAACAATGAGCAATTACATTGTCTCAATAGCAAGGCATCTCAGTGCTTGATCTTTGGCCTCTTCACAATCATCACAGTGCAGTGAGCATGATGAGCGCAATAGTCACTCACACTGCCTAGAACTGCCCTGCAAGAGCAATATGAAAACATGTTAAAAGCAAAGTTTCAGCAGACAAACAAGTGCTTTGGACAGCAAGCAATCATGTGTAAACGAGCTGTGCCTGAGCTTCCCAAGGGACTTTCAACAGTGTCTACTGAATATCTAACAGGAAACAATATATAGCCTCAGGAGTCCGATGTCATTTCAATATTAAACATTAAACAATCTAACTATATTAATGTAACATGTCTGAAAACAATATGAGATACATTTCACAAGAAAAAAATAAGTAAAAACAGGCTTTGTCAAATTTGAGATTGCAGTTTGTAACTTGCCTTGTTAAGTTTCTGCAACACAGTATTGGATTTCATAGCACCATTAGGTTATTTGAAGAGAGAGAGAATCAATACCTTTTAATAGCTCCATAACCATGACTTCCCACAACCAGCATTGAAGCATGGTGTCTGTCTACAGCCTCGCAAAGAACATTTCTAGCATCGCCTTCCACCACTTCAAATATCACATCTTCCACCTGCAAAGAAGCTGAAATGATCAGGAAAACTCTCATTTAATTCAATGATCATTTGCAAGATGTCAAGTAAAAGATGGGCTTCGTCTGCTTTCACTGAGCGAAGCGAAGGCAACCAAAAGAACACATTAGCCCTCATTTCTTTTCCTTTATAGGACCGTAACACACTATCTGATTACAATAGATTATAGCTTATTTAAACACTAGTTTTTTTCGTTAATCACACCTTTCCTTCAAAATCTAATACGAGAACCAAGGACATAATAAAACTTACCTCGCCCCCATTAGATAATTAGTTGCAGTCATAGTAATTAACCAAAAAAGACTCCAAATTCCTTTTCGTTTCTTTTGTAAGATTATGAATCCAGTACATGGATCACACAGTACGTTGGATAATTATATATATAGTTGAATTCAAGTTTGAAATTAATTATCAAGAAATGAAGATTAATTACCGATTTACTGATGCAAATTCCCTTAGCCTTTTCAATAACTCTAGCAGCCATCTTCCTCAAGTCCGACTCCACAATTGGGAAAACTTCAGCAGCCGCTGAAAGAGAGAAGAAAAAAAACAACTCAATTGAATATCGATAAAATTAGTAAAATGCTACATCCGTACAGTGTTCTTGAAAAGCAAATAGAAGTGGGTAAAAAGGAAGAAGAAGCAGTGGAAAATGAATAGGTACCAGGACCAGCACCAGCGATGGCATAGGTAGGAGAAGATTTGGCATGGACAACTACGAGCTTGAAAAGTGAATTGAAACCCAATTGAGGAGCGAAGAAGTGATCCAGTGTCCACTCCAAAGCGTAAGTGCTAGGCTCGCTATCATCAATCCCTACAACCATCACTTGCTTCTCTAAGGTTGCCATGGATTGATATATTGATGCCGATACTATTTCTCTGTGTCTCTCTGTTCTGTTTTCCGTTAATCTCGAGAATTAAGTTGCAAAACAAAAGTGGAGTTCGCTTATATTTGATACTGGCGAGTTAACATGAATTGGCAGCCTCAGCAAAATTTTTAAACGAGAGGATCTTATTCTCCAAACTTAATTGGGGAATTTTGAAATGAGATTGGGTTCGATTAAACAGCAGCGCACTCAGAATATATAAATAGTAACAAAAGACGGTTCTGGAAGTAGAACGGGGGTGTTATGTTTTCACACACGAACTAAGAAAGAGTGAGGGAGTGAATGACAATGATTGGAAATTTGGAATGAATGCCCATCTCGAAAGATCTTTTTTTAGCTGGAACAATCGAGGAGACGATGTCGTTTATAATATTCGAATAGAATCTCTTTTGTACAAAGCGACTCGGAGATTTGAATTTGGCACCCCTTCACCTTTACGCAGGGTAATTGGTTTAGTGATTGGATTGTTAACCGTGGATTGGATGGAAGTAGTAGCGTTTTCACTTGGCCAGTTAGATTTTTGTTTTTTTCAATGATAGCTTTTATATATTTAGAGATTAGTTCCTTTTTAAACCTAATTAGAGAACATTTTTTAACAAACAATTTTCAGTATTTTAAGAATAAATTATAAAGATCGAATTATAAGTTAATATCATTGAGATAGGTAGTTTTATTCTATTTGAACTCATATTTTTTTTGTTTTGTATCTTAAATTTAAATCTTGGTTCTTATTAGCTAAAAAAACTTCAAGGGAATGTTATCCAATAATTCAAATGAAAATGCACGAAGGTAAAAAGATCATGAGATGATACTGAAGTTTTGAGCCATGAAGGTAAAATTGTTATTTATAAAAGGTTAATGAATTATTACGCCCTAAAAATTCGAAGATTCTACAAATATTAGAATTTATGGGAAAACTTACGAAAGTAAATGCCCAGAAAGTGGCCTGCTAGGCTGCAACCAAATCCTAAATTGTTGCTCCACCATCAAAGAAATTAAAAATGTTTCCGAAAAATAAAATAAAAACTATGATGAGATCGCAAGCAGTACCATGTCTGGGCTTCTATTCATGGGCTTGGTTTTTTTCTTTTTTTATTATTATTATGCATGAGCTTGTTTAATTTCAATTGAGCTAAATCTATATGTGGTCCTTTAGTCACACAGGGGCTTACCAAATAGGCAAAGACCTGGTGCCTTGCCCTTTATCCATAGATGGACTTCCTCCTTTTAAGGCTCAGTGCCATGTTTGCTATTTTGTGTGTTTGATTTGTATCGAGAATTGTTTTTTTTTTTTTTAAGAAATCTGAAATTCCATTCCCAACAGTAAAATTTTAAGAAAATAAACAAACAATGATATCTATAATAGTTAATGGTAACTTAGTCCATATGGTTTAATAGAATCAATTTATTACTTTTTGTAGTGTAAAAATAATTAAATTATATCTTGATGAAGGTTGATACTTTTCGAGTATAAATAAAAAAATATAAAAAGTAAAAATAAATTTAAATTTATTGATATTAATAGAATATATATTTAGGTGAAGTAGTAAGAAAAATATATTTGACTCATTAAGTAAATATTGGGATTGTTATTTTTGAAAACTTAATTTTGTGTGTGATAATTGACATAAACTATTGATAGACTCAAAAATTCATGTTATCAAAATCGATTAAAACCAAGTATGAATCGATACTAATCCAATTCAGAAAATTGGACATAATCCAACACTAAAGTCTACTAAAAAAAAAGATTTAAAGACAAATTTTGTTCCTATTCCACTTTGATTTGGTAATTTCGCATATATAGTATAAAAATACATAATTTGAATCCTAAAGTGTTAGAGATTTGACAAGCATGGTCTAAATTAATCAATTTATGTTATGTGTAACGATCAACTGAGTTGATCGTTACTTGTAATACCAAAATGACGTCGTTTTAATTTTATGTTGTTAATTATGTTTTTTTTTAAAAAAAAAAACATTTTAAAAATATTTTTAACCCCTAATATTAATTTTTTTATAAAAAAAAATCTTATAAAATGTTATAAATATTTTTGAACTTCTAATTTAACCCGCACATGTTGCTGGTTTGTTTTCATCAAGTAAAAACCAAAGACCCAAAAGCAGATACATAGAATGTACCAACACTAGTATAGACAAATACTCGTACGACAATACTATGCGGCACAAGAAATACACGGAACTAGAACAGACACAGTATAAGCCATCATGTTTATTTGACAACATCGAGCAATTACATTGTCTCAATAGCAAGGCATCTCAGTGCTTGATCTTTGGCCTCTTAACAATCATCACAGTGCAGTGAGCATGATGAGCGCAATAGTCACTTACACTACCTAGAACTGCCCTGCAAGAGCAATACGAAAACATGTTAAAAACAAAGTTTCTACAGACAAACAAGTGCTTTGGACAGCAAGCAACCATGTGTAAACGAGCTGTGCCTGAGCTTCCTAAGGGCCTTTCAACAGTGTCTAATGAATATCTAACAGGAAACAATATATAGCCTCAGGAGTCCAATGTCATTTCAATATTAAACATTAAACAATCTAACTTTATTAATGTACCATGTCTGAAAATATATGAGATACATTTCACAAGAAAAAAATAAGCTTTGTCAAATTTGAGATTACAGTTTGTAACTTGCCTTGTTAAGTTTCTGCAACCTATGTTTATGAAAGATCGAAAGTTCACAGACACAGTATTGGATTTCATACACCATTAGGTAATTTGAAAAAAAAAAAAAAAAACAGAGAGACAAAATCAATACCTTTTAATAGCTCCATAACCATGACTTCCCACAACCAGCATTGAAGCATGGTGTCTGTCTACAGCCTCGCAAAGAACATTTCTAGCATCGCCTTCCACCACTTCAAATATCACATCTTCCACCTGCAGAGAGGCTGAAATGGTCAGGAAAACAGCCAAGGCAAAATCCTCTTATTTAATTCAATGGTCATTTGCAAGATGTCAAGTAAAAGATGGGCTTCGTCTGCTTTCACTACGCGAAGGCAACCCAAAAAACATATTAGCCCTCATTTCTTTTTCTTTATAGGATCTTAACGCATCATCTTACAATAGATTAAAGCTCTAGTTTTTTTCATTAGCCACACCTTTCCTTTCAAAATTTTATACGAGGACCAAGGACATAATAAAACATACATCGCCCCCATTAGATAATTAGTTGCAGTCATAGAAATTAACCAAAAAAGATTCCAAATTCCTTTTCGTTCCTTTGGTAAGATTATGAATCCAGTACATGGATCACACAGTAAGTTGCATGTTTATATACATGATTGAATTTAAGTTTGAAATTAATTAACAAGAGATGATGGTTACTTACCGATTTACTGATGCAAATTTCCTTAGCCTTTTCAATAACTCTAGCAGCCATCTTCTTCAAGTCCGACTCCACAAATGGCAAAGCTTCAGCAGCCGCTGAAAGAGAAGAAAAAAAGAAAAACAACTCTATTGAATATTTAAAACAGTAGTAAAATGCTATATCCGTACACTGTTCTGGAAAAGCAAATAGAAGTGGGTAAAAAGTGTCGTGAATATTTCACAATGTTATCAAAACCTTTCATTCTATACGTTGCTAAAAAAAGACATGAAATAACAATTTATTAAGAGAAGTATTTTACGGACTTGTAAAGGACAAGCAAAATAAATTGAGCTTGTGCACAAATGAGTTAAGTCAAACAAAGACAAAATGGCCTTCTTTTTTCACTCACCGATTATTGAACACACACAAAAAAAATCCTTGATTGATTTTATTCTGAGATATACGAAATAATATGTTTAAGAACAGTGATTACAGGACTCGAACTATTAACTGTCCTTTAACTACCCTTTTATTTCTTACTCGACAAAAAGGTGGAAGAAGCAGTGGAAAATGAATAGGTACCAGGTCCAGCAAGAGCGATGGCGGAGGTCGGAGAAGATTTGGCATGGACAACTACGAGCTTGAAAATTGAATTGAAACCCACATGAGGAGCGAAGAAGTGATCCAGTGTCCACTCTAAAGCGTATGTGCTAGGCTCGCTATCATCAATCCCTACAACCATCACTTGCTTCTCTAAGGTTGCCATGGATTGATATATTGATGCCAATACTATTTCTCTGTATCTTTCTGTTCTGTTTTCCGTTAATATCGATAATTAAGTTGCAAGACTAAAGTGGAGCTCCTCTTATATTGGATACTAGCGATTTACTATGAGTTGGCAGCCTCAGCAAAATTCGAAAACGGAAAGTATCTTATTCTCCTAACCAAAATAGCTTAATTGGGGAATTTTGAAACGAGATTGGGTTCGGTTAAACAGCTGCGCACTCAGAATATATAAATACTAATATTTTTGGAAAAATCAAACATAGTTCTAGAAGTAGAATGGAGGTGTTACGTTTTTACACGCGAACTAAGAAAGAGTGTGTGAGCGAATGACAATGATTGGAAATTTGGAATGGATGCGCCTTCGAAAGAACGTTTGTTAGCTGGAACGATCGAGGAGACGATGTCGTTTATGATATTCAAATAGAAATCTCATTTGTACAAGGAGACTAGGAGATTTGAATTTGGCACCCCTTCGCCTTCACGTAGGGTAATTGGAGTAGTGATTGCCTTGTTAATAATGGATTGGATGGAAGTAGGGGTGTTTCAATTGGCCAGTTATCAGATGTTTTTTTTATTTTTTTAAGAAATCTCAAATTCCATTCCAAGCACTAAAATTTTAAGAAAATGAACAAACAATGATATCTGCAATAGTTAATTATAACTTAGTCCATATGGTTTAATAGAAGCAATTTATTAATTTTTGTAGTGTAAAAATAATTAAATTGTATCTTGATGAAAGTTGATCCTTTTCGAGTATAAATAAAAACATATAAAAAGTAAAAATAAATTTAAATTTATTGATATTAACAAAGCATGTATGTAGGTGGAGTAGTAAGAAAAATATATTTTACTCATTAAGTAAAGAGTGAGATTGTTATTTTTGAAAATTTACTTAATTTTTTATGTGATAATTGGCATAGACTGTTGATAGACTACAAAATTATATTATTAGAATCGATTAAAACTAGGTATGATTAGATACTAGTCCAATTTAGAAAATTAGGCATAATCCAACACTAAAGTCTATTAAAAAATGGTTTAAAGGCAAATTTTACTTTTATTCTTGTGTGATTTGATAATTTCGGGCTTATAATACCAAATTGCATAATTTATACCCCCAAAATATTGGAGATTTGATAAATATAATTCAAATTCTCTAATCTCCATTATGTGTAACGGTTAATGTTAACCGTAATTTGAAATGTCAAAACAATGTCGTTTTGACATTTCGTTGTTAATTATATTTTTTTAATATATTTTTTAATATTTTTAACCCCCTAATCTTGAATTTTTTTAAAAAAAATTCTTATAGACTATTATAAATATTTTTGAACTCCTAATTTTGAAATTTTTTAAAAAATCTTTTTTTAATAAAATGTTATTGTAAAAAAACATAATTAACAATACACAATTTTAATCCTTAAAAAAATATTTTGTAAATCAAAATAGCATAATTAAGGATTGACCCCCTAATTTATAAATTATTTAAAAAAAATTGATAAAATATTTATAATATTTTATAAAAAAAAAGGCTCAAAATTAGGGGATAAAAGTATTTGTAAAATGTTTTTTTCTTATAATATTTTGTAAGAAAAAAAGTTTAAAATATTTCGAGATTAGGAGATTAAAAATATTTTAAAAATATATTTTTTTAAAACACAATAACGGTGAAATGTCAAAACAACATAATTTTGACATTTCAAATAACGGTTAATTGAATTGACCATCACATATAACGAAAATTAGGTAATTTGAATCATATTTACTTAATCTCTAATATTTTAGTATTCAAATTATATAATTTGATATTATGGATCTAAAATTACTTAATCATAATAAAATAGAAGTAAAATTTATCATTAAACCATTAAAAAACAGTGGATTTTACGTGGCATTATGGGGCAGTTCCTTCGAATCCTATTCATAGAAGAAAAAGATCCGTCAATTACTTTTCGAGTGCCCAACAATTCATAGTGGCCAGTCCACTCAACGAATGCTTCCCATAAAGCATTTCGAAAGTGATAAGGTTGTAGTTTATGTATGTCCGTCGACCTTTAATGATGAAAACAAAGCAACTGCTTCTGAATGGTTCATCAACCACCCAAAACTGGAGTAAATTATAAATTAGTTGATCTTGTTTTGAAAAAATTAATTAATTAGACTTTTTTTTCAAAAAATAATTATTTAATTTTTTTATATTTTTATTTTTTTCTCTTTTTTGTTATTCTAAGAAATAGAAAAAATTAAAAAATATGAAAGAATTTAAGTAAATCAAGCATAGTTTAAGAAATTAAATAATTAGTAAAAAAAAGTTTATTTATTTATTGATTGATTTTTAAAAAATAGAGGAATTAATTTATAATGTACTCGCCAAAACTAATAGTGACATACTAGCATGTATCTCGCGTGTTGCCGCGGGGTGATTTATATAATATTTTTATGTATTCATTCATATAAAATATAAAAATAATTATTTAAAAGGATCGTGTGAAAAAAAACTCAAAAAAATAACCAAAACATATATCTCATATTTTGCCATGGGGTTAGCTAAACAAAAAATCTACAAAATTGAATACTATAAAATTACTAATTAGATATTGTTTTATATAAACATGTATTTTATTAGAAATATGTATAATAATTGATAACTAAAATAATGATGTGGTAGTTTTTTGAATTTTAGATGATTAATTTTTACTATATTCTTCATCTATGATTTGTTAATAAAATAGAGAGACCACCCGAACAAAAAGACAAAAAAAACTTATTCAAATCGAGAATTTGACAAAAAAAAATATAGATAAAATTACATATGATAAAAATTAAATGATCAAAACAAAATAAAAATCATAAAAGAAGGATAAAAATAAATAAATAAAACTTTCAGTAAAAGAAAAAAAACTTATAAACAATAAAACTAAAAAAAATTATTATAAGATAGGAATAAAAGTAAAACATGATAGAATTTTAATAATCAAAATAAAAAAATTACAAAATAAGAACCAAAACAGAAAATATTTTTTACTAAAAGCCGAAAAAACTTAGAATAGTGAAATTGTATTTAATTTTAGTGTAAAAAGAACAATAATCAAATATAATAAAACTTCAATGATCAAAATAAAAGAAAGATCACAAAATAAAAACCAAAACATAACAAAAAGGTTTACTAAAATTAAAAAAATAGTTCCTTGTAGGGGAAAAATCAAATATAATAAAAATTTAATGATAAAAAAAAGGGACTAAAAAAAAACTACTAAATTTAATGACCAAAACAAAGAAAAAAGATCACAAAACAAGAATTATAATAGAAAGAAAAGTTAAAAACTTAGGATAGTGAAACTTTATTTAATTTTAGTATAGTAAAGATAAAAATCAAATATGATAAAACTTTAATTAATAAAATAAAAGCATATCATAAGATAAAAACAAAAAAATATAAATTTTTACTGAAAGCTACGAAAAAATAATTATTATGGAGACAAAAATCAAATATAATAAAATTTCAAATTTAATAGTTATTATAAAAATAAAAATCAAATATAATAAAATTTTAATAGCTAAAATAAAAAGAGATTATAAAATAGGGACTAAAAAATAAAAGCCAACCCCATGGCTTGGCTGCAGCAAAGCAAACGGAAGGAAAAAAATTAAAAACAAAAGAGGGCATTAGCTGGTGGCTAAAGCAAGCGGGAGGGAGAAAGAAAGAAAGAGAAAAGAAAAAAAAAAAAAATTGCTACAGTTAATCCACAGTAAGTACTACGATAGTTTAGCGTTTTATTTTAGTATCTCTTGTAACTTATGGAGTCCAACTTTTGTTGTGTGTATATGTGTGATGAGTGAGTTTATCATAAACAATAACGTAAGTGAAATCAAAGCGCACATCACTTAACAACAAGTGGGGAAGCTACAGTGATTTACAATTGACCAACCAACTAACTAGCTAGCAATAATTTATAAAAGGTTAATGAATTATTACATTCTAAAAATTCGAAGATTCAAAAAATCTTATAATTTATATGAAAACTTACGAATGTAAATGCCCGAAAAGTGGCCTGCAAGGCTGCAACCAAATCCTAATTTGCTGCTCCACCATCAAAGAAATTAAAAATGTTTCTGAAAAAATTAAATAAAAACTATGACGAGATCGCAAACAGTAACATGTATGGGCTTTTATTCATGGGCTTTTTTATTATTATGTATGGGCTTGTTTAATTTCAGTTGAGTTAGATCTATGCGCGGTCCTTTAGTCAAACAGTGGCTTACCAAATAGGCGAAGACCTAGAGCCTCGCCCTTTGTAGATAGATGAATTTCCTCCTTTTGAAGCCCGGTGCCATGTTTCGCTATTTTGTTTAAGAAATCTCAAATTCCATTCCAGGCACTAAAATTTTAAGAAAATAAACAAACAATGGTATCTGTAATAGTTAATTATAACCTAGTCCATATGGTATAATAGAATCAATTTATTACTTTTTGTAGTGTAAAAATTATTAAATTGTATCTTGATGAACGTTGATCCTTTTCGAGTATAAATAAGAAACTATAAAAAGTAAAAATAAATTTAAATTTATTGATATTAATAAAGTGTATATTTAGGTGGAGTAGTAAGGAAAATATATTTGACTCATTAAGAGAGGGATTGTTATTTTTGAAAATTTACTTAATTTTTTATGTGATAATTGATATAAAGGTTGCTAGACACAAAAAATCTTGTTATTAGAATCGATTAAAACTAGGTATGATTTGATACTAATTCAATTCAGAAAATTAGGCATAATCCAACACTAAAGTTTATTGAAAAATAGTTTAAAAGCAAATTTTGCCTCCTATTCTATTGTGATTTAGCAATTTTAGCCTTATAGTATCAAATTGTATAATTTGAACTTCTAAAATATTAAAGATTGGGCAAATATGATCCAAATTGCTCAATTTTTGTTATTTGTAACGATCGATTTGGAATGCCAAAACCACATCGTTTTAGCATTTCGTTGTTAATTATGTTTTGTTCTAGAAAAAAATTCAAAATATTTTTAACCTCCTACTCTTGAACATTTTTTTTAAAAAAAAATCTTATAAAATTTTTATAACTTATATAAAAAAATTTATTAATATTTTTGACCTCCTAATTTTGAATTTTTTTTTAGAACTATTTTTTTATAAAATATTATTGTAAAAAAATATAATTAACAATACACAATTTCGAGCCTTAAAAAAATATTTTATAAATTAAAATAAGCATAAATAAGGATTGACTCAAAATGATGTCGTTTTGATATTTCAAATAACGATCAATTGGATTGACCGTTACACATAACGAAGTTTAAGTAATTTGAATTATATTTGTTTAACTTTTAATATTTTGGAGTTCAAATTATATAATTGGTATAACGAAGTTTAAGTAATTTGAATTATATTTGTTTAACTTTTAATATTTTTTGAGTTCAAATTATATAATTGGTATTATGATTTTGAAATTATCAAATTGTAATAAAACAAAAATAAAATTTGCTATTAAACCATTAAAAACCAGTGGATTTATCGTGGCATTATCGGTCAGTTCCTTCGAAACCCATTTATAGAAGAAAAAAATCAGTCCATTACTTTTTGAGTGCCCAACAATTCATAGTGGTCAGTCCACTCAACAAATGCTTCTCATCAAGCATTTCAAATGTGATAAGATTCTAGTTTATATACACCAGTCCTTTAACGAGGAAAACAAAGCAACTGCTTCTGAATAGTTCCTCAACAACCAAAAACTGGAGTAAATTATAAATTGGTTGCTCTTGTTTTGAATAAATAAATAAATTAGTTTTTTTTTAAAAAATAGCTATTTAATTTTATATACTTTTTTGTAATTTAATTTTTTCAATCTTTTTTAGTTTGTTTTAAATTTTTTATTCTAAGAAATAGAAAAAAGTAAAAAATATGAAAGAATTTATGTAAATCAAGCATAGTTTAAGAAATTAAATAATTAGTTAAAGAAGAATTTATTTATTTATTTATTGATTTTTCAAAAATAGATAATATACTCCCCAAAACTACTAGTGACATATGTTATGGAGTCAAACTTTTGTTGTGCGTATTATGTGATGTGGGAGTTTATCATAAACAATAACGAAGTGAAATCAGAGCACACATCACTTAACAACAAGTGCGGAAGCGACAGTGATTTACAATTGACCAACCAACTAGCTAGCATAGTGGCTAGTTCAAAACCAACTAAGAAAATATATGGTGTAGTAATCTTGGAATTTGGGGATTCATTAAACAATAATTCAAGTTCAGTAATTCCAACTCAAATTTGATAAGGTGGTGTATGCTCAACACGTCATGGAAAAGGTCCAGAAGGAACTCACCTGACTCCGAATCATAGTTAAGTTGACAATTAGAACAGCAGAATTCTGTGTGTTTCAGTGGAGAATGTGTCTGGTAATGGAACCACATAAATTAATTTGTCTTCCCGGAATATCCATATATACTTAGCTATAACCGTTCCATAAAAAAAAAAACCTTGGATTTTAAGATTAGTACCTATGAAGTGAAAAAAATTATGCCTCATTCACCAGTAGACTGATCCTTTAAAGTTAACCATATTTGTGATGATAAGTATTAAATAAAAATAATTTCTGTAGACTGTTTTGGTAAAAAATAGGAGTACTCGATGATCGTGTGGAGGTTGACAAAAGATTTCCTACACAACTGAAAAATCAGACATAAAAGAGGTCAGTGAAGGTTGAGGCAGCCTGAAAAGGCGTTAAATGCTGTATTTTCGTAAACGACAAGCAATCCTGCGTTTATTATATAGAAGCGGATCTATCTATCTTTGGTCTATAAGCATCTTATTTTTTCCACTTGTGTCTATCTATTTGCTTAGCTGGTGCGCAAAAGGGGTTGCCCAAATATTTCACCAACCCCTATCGTTCTGATGTGGCAACCAAAAGCCTTTCCACGTGGCATAAATATATCATAATGTTAGTCTCTCTCTCTCTCTTTAAAACGAAAAGCAAAAACTATACCTGCAGACACGTTGAGCTTTTCAAAACTTTGCCTGTGAGCATGAAAGTAGTCTAGAAATGGAAACCATAACGGAAAAAAAGAGACTTTCAAATCCACCGTAATGCCCATTAGCATGGTGGAGATGCTTAAAATATATGGTTCTTTGTGGGAATTGGGATATGAAGAATATTTGCGGGCCATTTCATGTAAGATTTGATTCGGTTCTCTTTTTAAGTTAAGTGGCTAGTTAATTTGAAAAATGTCAGCATCAATGTCAGGCAACATCATTCCAAACAACAAAATCAAACGAAACAATGACCGCCATAAATTGTCGGAGAAGTTGAAATTTTAATGAGAATAGGATTCTTGTTCCTATACATATCCTATAAACCTGATCTAGCCTGAGATCATTATAATAGCGCCATTGATTTGGTGTTGAATTTTCAGACTAAAAATCAAAGATGCTGTGTGATCACACTACCGGAAATGGTCGGTTTTGGGTGATCCAGGGCTTCTCTCTGTATAACTCTCCCTCTTTCTTCTCTTTTTATTTTTTTTTCAATTATTTTTATTTTTTTCAAATAATTTACCATCTCTTTTTAATCATATGAATATTTTATGACAAATTACCATATATGTTCACACATCTATTTTCGTTAAACAAACGCTTAACAACCACGTCAATGTTTTAATGACATGTAACTTGGATTGATCAAATATCGAAAGTCTAAGAACTAAAAAACAAAAAAACTATAAATATTAAATGAAAAAATCTATAGATGTTATGAAACAATGAATGTCCATCATCATGTTCATCTATTTTTTATATTCCTACTTAATATGATTCAATTCATTATTCAATATGAAAAATTGAAAGGATGATGTAATTGATTATTCATAGTCTCTTCTAATTCTCTCTTCAATTTTGAATTCTATAAATAGACTTAATTGTTCATTAGTTGATATACCAATTTCTTAGAAAGAATAAGAGAAACTTTGAAGTTCTTATCATTTATATTCAAATTATAGTGATTTCATTTTCTTGTCATCCTTTTCTTTAATTCTCTTATTATTTTTATTTATTTTATAACAATAGATAGTAATTTTGTAATTTTTAAAATTGTTTTGGCTTGAGCCACAATATAGCCAGTGTTATATGCAATGTCCACATAATCAAAGCTTTAATTTATTTTAAAGGCAATGTCCACATAATCAAAGCTTTAATCTATTTTAAAGGTACTGATCATTTAGTAAAATTGAAGTATTTTAAAATAATTAAAAATTAAAATAAAGGTACTATATACAATTTTTTTTTTTAGGTTGCTAAATTAAGTGTGGAAGGAGGAGAGGTTCAACTCCTAGAAGAGCAAATTCAAATTTGGTTTCGTCTAAGTTGTCCACAGCTAAATAAATAAATAAATCTCACCACTACGTATGAAAAGGAAAGAAGAAAAGCATTAAATGAGACGGTTGGTCATGGATGGTTGAGTTTATCTTTCTTTCTTTCTTTCCGTGACAGATTTGCAATTGGACCCAAAACTCACATGCATATCTTCTTTTCGAATTGACTAATATCAGTGATTTCCGAGAATGCAAATGCTATCCTTCTCTTTTTTCTTTTTCTGTATTTTTTTATTTACACTTTTGGTAGGTTTAAAGTTGGCAACTTAATTGCATTTCATGGTCTCGTGAATTGTCACCAACTTTTTGGATAAACCGGCCAGCTCTCAAATTACTTGGCCACGCCACATAATTAGCTTAATCATTATCTTGATAATTGCTTTTTATTGATGCAGGAATTCCTGACCGCTGCTTATGCTTTATTCTAATGCTCGACAAGATCTAGGGAACTTCGATGATCAAACTTGTCCTTTAAAAAAAACAAAGAGAGGGAGTTTCCTAGGAATGTTCCTGGGAAAATCCTCCCTTGGTGCTGCCTTTGATGATTAAATATTCTAAATATGATATTAAGTACACGCACCAAACAAAAAAAACTTATTTCCTAATAATTGCATAAATAGTTTATATGCTGTAGACATTCATTAACCATTCATCTCTTTATAAACTTAATTTGGGCATAATGCAATTTTAATTTAGATATTTTTACTGTCCAGTAAAAAATTAAAAAATAAATAAAAAGAACATAAGTTGCAGTAAAAATAATGATTTATTAATTTTATGTGATACAATCAATATAAATCATATGAATTAATTAACTAAGGTTCGTGTGATGGACAAAAAATTATGAGGTTAACTTAGTTGTTTTCAAAATGAATCTTTTTATGACCATTTCATCTACGGCTTTTTATTTCATTTTCAAGCAAAACGTCAAAATAGGATAATACATTCACCGCTAATATTTTTTATCTGTTTATTTCATTTTCAAGCAAAACGTCACAATAGGATAATACCTTCACCGCTACTATTTTTTATCTTTTTATTTTTTAAAAACTTAGCTGCCTTAAAGTCAAAGCTAATATTTTTGAAGCAGTCACTGCTTCGCTTACAAGTTAAAAGAAAAGATAATGCCAAATGGCAGGAAAGCGTCATGTGTCCACAGCGGATGCTGGTAAAACACTCCCCTTTAATAAAAATGAAGGTAAAAGAATAACTAATAAATGGATATCAGGTTTGGAGAAAAGATTCATAATATCCAAGAAATTGACTCTTTCCCTACTCATCTCCTCAGGTTGGTCCTACATATACGTCTGTAAGCACTCAAAACCGTTAAAACCCAGAAACAGAGGAGAGTAACGCCTTCTCCATCCGTCAGAAAACAAAGTAACCGGCTAGGAGACCAGCATTCTTATTTCCTTTCTGCTAGTATATTTAATGAGATATGAATCGTTAGGAAAGATCAGAAGGAGAAGCTATCTTTGGTTGCATTGGTTCATGAGAAAGAAAAAAACATGAAGTTTTGCAAGAAATATCAGGAGTACATGCAAGGCCAAGAGAAACAACTACCTGGGGTTGATTTCAAAAAACTAAAAAAGATTTTGAAGAAGTGTAGGAAAGATTTTGAATCCCACCAGGACCACGATGGCCAATCCTGTCCTCACCATTGTTCTGGTACTCAATTCTATTGCACATGATTATCAATTATTCGCTGCTTTTCATTTATTTGTGGTATTAGTTAATTAGTTTGTAGGGATGTAAGTTGCTGTTTCTTTTAATTTTCCTTTTAGCAGATTTGTCTGATTTTACAGAAAAGTGAAGTTTTGATTTTATGATCTTCCAGAAAATTTTGTTTCATATTCTTATTGGAGTGCTGTTTTCGTTGATTTAATTTCTTTTTTCTTTTTTGAAAAATTGGTGAATTCTCCAATGAGCTTTACAATTTCTTTGTGAGGTACTTAATGGTGAGTTGATGAGAGTCACTCCTCAATTGCTGATTTTGCTAAAGATTAGGGACTGGACGGTGATGGTATAGACTAATTATGTGAATACAGCGATATTTTTGAAGTGAGAAAACAGATTAATAACGCTGTTCATTTTCCAACTTCTTATTAGATTTTCACCTTTGCTTTTTATGATTTCTTGATTGTTTTGCACACAAGAAGAAATTGAGTTAGTCTAAAAGCTTTTAACAAGATAAAGATTCAGCTTCTCGATTTTCCGAGGATCCATCTATAAAACACAACAAATAATGTCTGATATAAAAATTCTGATTGATTTGTTATAGTCGTTGCAGTTAGATAGCTAGATGCAAGGGAAAGAGACTTTCTTTTGTACTTGTTCATGAAGTAACATCTTATGTTATTTGTTATATATAGTGATTTTTCTTTTTGCTTTTGATAGGTTGGTTCTCCTTATCGGTTATTCCTTCTCTAACTTAAATTCACTTGTAGTGTGCGATGGTACCTTTTTCCCTTCCCTTCTCAGGGAAATGTCAGCAGTAGTTGGTTGCTTCAATGATCGTGCCCAGAAATTACTTGAGCTGCACCTGGCTTCTGGCTTTCGAAAATACTTCATGTGGTTCAAGGGCAAGTTGAAAAAAGACCATGTTACCTTGGTTCAAGAAGGCAAGGACCTGGTTACCTATGCACTAATCAATGCTATTGCAGTTCGAAAAATACTAAAGAAATATGACAAGGTATGTTTATATCAAAATAAGATTAATAAATACCAGTATAGAGTCTGATAAAGTGGGATGTGAAACATTCTCATGTTTTGGGTTATCAAGCTCCATATTTCTGCTCTCTATGGTTACAGATCCATTACTCCAAGCAAGGACTGGCCTTCAAGTCAAAAGCTCAAAGTATGCACATTGAGATCCTTCAGTCCCCATGGCTTTGTGAGCTTATGGCTTTTCACATCAATTTAAGGGAGACAAAGGTCAAGTCAAACAAGGCTCCAGCATTGTTCGAGGGGTGCTCACTAACTTTTGATGATGACAAACCATCACTCTCTTGTGAGCTTTTTGACTCCATCAAGGTTGATATTGATTTGACCTGTTCTATATGCCTGGTAAGTTCCTAGATTTCTTTTTGCTACATAATATCCAGTAATTAGTTGCTTAAAATTGGATGCATCCCCCAAATTTTTAATGAAGAGAATGAAATAAATTTCACAACTGGATTCAAAGCTCTAAAATTCTAATATACAATGACTGCAGCAAAAGCTAGTAGAAGTTTTTGACTTTTTTTGGAAAAATCATTTGTTCATGAGATACCTTATGGATTGATAAATGCTTACTGCTCCAGCCTCCAGCTCTTTTTCTAGTTCCATGTATCACTCAGAACCAGTTAGATCATAAACCAGTCTTACTTTTAACCTTACAATGAATTTATGGTGAATTAGGAGACGGCCATTTCGAACCCAACCTTTTACAATGGATTTGGCATCTGCTGTCCTCAATAGTAAACAAAAAATTCTGGTCTAATTGCTTTTCTTTTCATAATTTACTATCTTAAGTGCTTATGCTGTTGTATGCATGCCTACTTGTATTAAGCTAGCATTTCAAGAGTGGAAAACATGCACACTGACTTTGTTATCATCGTGATTAACTGATTTAGATTGTTTGATATCTCTATTGGTAACAGGATACAGTATTCGATCCAGTTTCTCTAACATGTGGCCATATCTTCTGCCATATGTGTGCTTGTTCTGCGGCTTCGGTGACCATGGTTGATGGACTACGGGCAGCAGAGCCTAAAGAAAAATGCCCTCTATGCCGGAAGGTTTGTTGACATCATTCAATAATCATTCTTCACTCTTTATTATTTCCTGTGAAGCATTATGCGCGTTAGTCATTGCTGCAATTTTGCTTTTAGAAGATTTTAAATGTCCTTTTGAAATTAGGAATTAGACTCAGAAAATTAAAACTGATGCTAGAAGACAGGTTCCTGAAGGTTGGCCTTATTTAATTCCTACCATTTTTTCAATTCATCGCCTATTTCTCATCTGTTGAATTCCCATTTCAGCTGTTGTTTTTGTCACTGACATTGTATTGTAGACGGACACCCAGGTTATCCATTCTAGTTGAACTATTTTCTTTAATTGGCATCATGCACCATATTCTTGACGAGTGGGATTTTTTCGCCTCCCTTTTCATTATCAAGTACGTTGTAGAAACTGGTCTAGTCCTCCATTTATAAATTACATAAGTTATATAGATGGCATCATGTTTTCGCTATGTAGGAAGGCCAATATCTTTAATCGAATGTTGGAAACTCAGTTGAATTGTGAGTAATGCTGGTAGATTCGATGAGAACAATGAAAGCATCAGATGCATGTTGCAGTCAGTTACGATCACAATCTGCTACTTTGATTTCCTTTTCATTAAACTGTCTCTTATTTTTTCTTTTTCCTTTTTCCTTTTTTGATTAAACACTGCATCTTCATGTTCCAACTTTCTGTATCATAGGCTGGAGTTTATGAAGGTTCCCTACACTTGGAAGAGCTTAATATTTTATTAAGCAGAAGGTATCATTTTCCATTCACGACATATCAGTTTGATTATACTGTAGCTTTAACTTTAAGATCTCATCATCTCATGTACTTCCTCACTAAGGAGGATGAGGACAGGACAGGAAGGGAAGAAAAACGAAGGGACATGCTTCCTGTGTTTCTCAACTTTTTGTATCCGTTACTGATTTCTTGCTTTCATTGGCATGTTGGAACAGTTGCCGCGAGTATTGGGAGCAACGACTTCAGGCAGAAAGGATAGAGAGGATTCGGCAGGCAAAGGAGCACTGGGAATTTCAGTGTCGGGCATTCATGGGTGTCTAGTTAGTCATTTCTTCTTTCTTGTCATTAGATTTAGGCCTAATTAACATGCTGTAAATTTTTCATAGTGATTCCTACCGTCCCTTCAGCCAGGATTATATCTGTGTTGAATAACTTCTTAGCAAAAGTTTACTTTCAAGTTATTGACAGGCTTATATTGCTCTCTTGGTCGAATTAGAACAGTACTACATTGAATGTATTGATATAAAACCTAAAATAGTGTGAAAATAGATTATCGCTGTAGTAGATAGCACGGAACATGCCTCTCTCTTGTTTCTCCCCACCTTTTTAATGAAATAATGGAGCAGTATATATGATTCTCCTTATTAATGAGGGTGAATTAAGCTTCCAGCAACGGCAGCAGTATGGCAACCTCAAATTATGGCTGCAAATAATTTGCAGCGTTACATAATTGTCACTCGAGGCTTCCCTATAATTTTACGAGTCTAGCAGCTAGGCCCACCATGAAGAAACCAGTTTGTAAGAAGAATTGAACTCGCATTCGGCCTGACAAGTCCAATAGAAGCTGTACAGCTAACATAGAGCATATTTTAAGTCATCGTATGGTGTTATGCTTTGGATCCTTTAACGTCTTCAAACTGAAAAAACATTAAATTGATCAGTTTTCAAGTATTGTTTTTTGGTTTTAATATGGGATATAAGGATATCAAAAAAGAAACCTTAAAAGACATGATTTTGTGCATTTTCAAACCGAAAAAAGTTTGAAAAAACACTTGCAACCGCATTACAAACACACTAAAAATTTCTTAACTAAATCTTTCTGGGCAAAATATTTCATACATATATTAGAATACTGATGCGATGCTGCAGAGGACAAGGCCAGTAAGATAAAAGGTACCATAAGTGAACTTAAGTAAGTCATATCCTATTCACCAAAATTTGCAAAGACGGTTGCAATCCAACCAATTAGATTACCTTTGGGGATGAATACTTATGTGTCACTCCATTTAGCTGTGTCCCATTATTTCCTGGCAGACCAACCCACTTCATTCTATACCAAACATACATCAAGGATGGCTGACACTTAATCAGGCATTCTGCTGGGGTTGGTTTTGGCTTTGTTTTAGTTTTCCTTTTATATTTAGAAGAAACGCTAATGAACCCACGTTCGAACCACATTCAATCCAAAGGCAGCACATATTCTTGAATATTTAGTAGTTTCGAGAAGCAAAAGATACAAACAACAGATAATTCCTGGACAAAAATTGTTTTGATTACCCCTATAACAATCAGGATAACAAACATTAAAATTGGTAATAGACCAGATCTTACTTCAATGACCTTGAATACTTCTTATCAAGGGATTTTTCTCTTTATGCATGTGATATCTTTTGCACAATTTCTCAAGAGTTGCAACTGAATGCTGCATGGCATTTAGTTTTGTGTCCATGAACATACCCTGGAAAAGAATGAAGTCAAAGTGAATCATACCACCGCCACAAACATTATACAAATTCAAAAATAAGAATTGGCAACCAACCCTGTAGTCATCTCCATATTTCTCAACAAGCTGACTGATATGAACACGCTGCATTTTGGTCAATGGTTGCAAAGGTGCATGTTCCCCATCTCTACGCTTCTTCCCAAGAGCAGATTTCAAATCTACACAACCAAAGTATTAACATCACACGTTAAATCATACAGAGAGGACAAATTCATCCCAAATTTCAGCCTTGAACTGCCTAACTTCCACACCATCTCTGAACTAAATGAAAAAGTTCCACAAAGAGCATACACACGAGTAACACATCCTCACTCACTTCACAGTATTCTTAGCTTTTCTGTAGTCAATTACAATGATAAGTACACCAAGAAATCCATAATTTCCGACAGCTTATGAAACATATTCTTCAAAAAAAAAAAAAAAAAAACAGAACACAGTACGAAAATAACCAAGATTATCAGCATTCCAAATACTTCAAAGAAAAATGATGGAAAACAGGTTCAAGGCTAGAAAGCTAATGTCGGCACTAGAAAAAGAAGGAAATTTGAGGTTTTTTATCCCATATACCATGATATGATTCTATGAGTAACTTCCTTTTCTACTCGGAACATATAAATTCCATTATCACATTATTATTATTTTAAAAAAATAGCATATGAATTAAGCTAAAGCTGTGTGTGCTAAAAAAGGCATTAACATCAAGATCAGAAAATCAATTAAGCAACAATAAGGGATTAATTCAATTTATGCCTCAAAAAGAAAAGGAAATCCATAAATGAAACAAAGAATAGAACGCACCATCTTCTTCGAGGTCACTGCCAGAATCCATGGGTTCGAACTCATCTGCGGACCCATCATCCACTGGTTCCTGGGGCGGAGGGACTTGGAGAGATTCGGTCTCGATGATATGAGAAGTGCGGAACCTGATGCCAAGGAAGTTAGGGTTTGAAACGACGCCAAAAGACTTGTAGTTTTGGATAACACTGGCCTTATCGTCCCATTTAGAGATGTCGGCGCCAGCAAGACAGCGAAGCTTTGGAGGGAAGTTGAAGGCTGGCTTGAACACGTGTGGTTTTTCTTTGGGAGAGCCACCCGTACTTTTGGCCTTGACTTCTTGGATTTCCTTCTTGACCCTCCCATCTCTGGCTCTCTGGTTTCTGTATTTGTGGCAACACGATAAGAGAGAAAGAAGCTGATTAGGGTTTATGAAGGGGATTCGTAAAGATAGGAAGTCGGGTACAGAGGTCAACGGTGCGTTTAACAATTTCTTAAAAACGCTGCGTTTTCTGTTTTTTCTGTCTCTCTATTTTTTTCCTCTGAAACTTTTTGTCTTTGTTTTTTAGAGTAAATTATAAATTAGTCCCTCTTGCTTCCAGAAACGACTTGATTAGTCCTTTTTTAAAATAATTATTTAGTCTTTTTTCTATTTCTCAATTTATTTTGATTTTTTGTTTTAAGAAATAAAAAAAGGAAAAAAAATAAGTAAAACTATGAATAGATTGGCTAAAAATATATATATTATAAAATAAAAATATTAAATTAGTGGTGGTCAGTTGTTAAAATAACTAAATAATTAATTTTTAAAACTAAAAAAACTAATTAATTCTTTTCTCAAAACTAGAAGGACTTATTTATAATTCACTCTTGTTTTTCAAAGACGAAACCATTTTTATCTTTTTTTTAACAATAAAGCCAGCGCCCAGTTTAATTACAAGGCGTTTACATTATACCGAAATCGAATTTTATTTCCTAAAACCTTGCTATATTATATTTATATTTACATAGTTAGAGTTTCAGACACAGAATAAAATCGTGTCAAAAATTAAAAATAATAATAATAAAAGAAGTAATTATTTAGTTGTTTGTATTTCTAAATGAAAGAGTGATGTTTAGCATCGATATTTTATTAAAAAAAAAACTACATAATAAACACATTAATTTTGATTTTTTTTTAAGTCAAGTAAATTATTTTTTATTTCTTTTGTTTCATTATATTAATATTTCGTCCAATTTTTTTTACAGTGAAAATGTAACATTCAGCAGAAAAAACTAAATGATTATGTTTTTCTTTTTGTTTTTCTCTCCTCTCAAAAATTATTATAATTGTTTAACTATTAATTTAAAAAAAGCAGCTGGCACACATGCTTTTTTTTTTTTAATTGAGTTTTGAGTTATATATCTTCTTTTCTATCATAATTTTTGTGTACATAAAAAATAATAATAATGAGAATGTAAAAAGCATACCAACTTACTGATAAAACTAAATCTCCAAAAATAGCAATTCTAATTATTAAAAATTCATATAATGTGTATCATTTATTTTCCTTTTCGGACAAATGTCCATTTATTTATTTATGATCTCTGATTGCAAATCGTATTATATTTAATCAGATGGCAAAAATCGGCGTTCTCCTTGTGTGCGCATTTGTCACCAGTATGGTTGGTAATGGAGGGATGTTTGCAAATTCACAGCAATAATGGCACCTCGATCCCCATTTATTTTTCAATTGGAATTTGGAAACACAAAATGCAACGAAGTTCTTCTTTTATTCTACTATATATACATGATATCAATAGTTTTAAGTATATAATTTAATCGCTGCTCTTAGAGACAAGTTGGTCCCGAAATCCAATTTCTCATTGATTTTACTTGATAACTTTAATAAAAAGATGGTTCGAAGATTAAAAATAGCTAATAGTTCTTTTTTTTTCTGAATTTTTATCAATTTGAAAATCAAAAATTTTAATTTTGAATTTAACTTCTTTAAGAAATGGTTCATCTTTTAGTTTTCTGTAAAAAAATATTGATCATATGATAAAAACCATATAGTAAAATTAATTTGAAACTCTCCAAAAAATTTTGAAATAATTCCGGTTTATTTTTTATTTTTTTATAATTATAATATATATTCAATAAATAAATAAATAATATGCTTTTTTATTTTTGAAATTTTTTTATATTTTTTCAAAAAATAGATTAAATTTTTTTTTAACGTGTGTGTAAAGAAAGCATTAGCTCAAAATATTAATGATTGATTATTTTTTTAAAAAAAACAAGAGAGTGATAATTGAAAATCGTACAATAAAGTAAATCTAAAACAAAATGAAGTTTAGAAGATGTCAAATCTGAAATTAAAATTTAAAAATTAATTTTTAAATAAATTAAAATTCAAGAGAGTTTTGATCCATTTAGGTTTTTTTCCTTTTATAAATAATAGTGCTGTAAGCTCATTTGGTCTTTGCAAAATACGGCTTGGACGGGTAAAACATGTTTTGAATAGTTAGGTTTGCTATCTAATACTTAATAGCACCACACACAATATACATTTCTATTTTCTACATTGTTTGCCTGAATTCTGGGTTGCTAAATCTTTATGACAGCAACTAATTAATAAAAATTTGCTCTTATTATTTCATTTGATTAGTTACTTGTGATTTTTCTCTTTCAGGAAAAAAAAAAAAAAGAAAAGAAAAGAAAAGAAGAAGAAAAAGGGTTCAGGAATCATTTTAGTCTTTTTAGATGAATTAGAGAGTTTTCTTTCTTCTAAAGACAGATATGGATACCTTTTGTATGGCCATCCCAAAAGCATAGGCAAAGCACTGAAGCTCCGCCAATGGTAGTAATTTGTTGGGTTTAACTCGAAAAAGGAAAAGTCAAGATATTTATGATTTCTCTCTTGATATTTGAAGTTATTCTTATTTCACTTGAGCAATTCTGCCAAACATCTCCAGGATGGATAACAAAAAGAAATAGTGCTAGACTGATTTCTTGCTCATCCATAGCATTTTAAACAATTGATCTTCTTCCCCATAAAAATTCATTTTCTAACAAAATGACAGAGAAGCTTAATTAGTTATGCTAACATCAACTACCAATAAAGCTAAAGAAGACATCTTCTACAATTTAGTTACCAAATTCTTTTGAAATAGCTAACTTAAAGTTTCTGATAACATCACAAGTCGCGTTATGGCCTTTTTGGTAGAAGCGTGAAGGCACTCTTCCAACGGTATGGACCAAGTTATGCTCCTCCAGAGATTTTTTACCGAGATTACAGCCAGAAACTGCTAGTGATTAAAGAAGACCCTTTGCTTATAATCCAGCCGAGCGGTTGGCATACTCCTGAACCAATGCCCCAAACAGTGTTGGCCTCTCCAGTAACCGAGAGGGTTTATCAAATTCTTTTGCCCACCCTGTTTTAAACAACAACCAAAGCGAATCAGAATAGCCGTCCTAGTGTCTTGAATGCAGCAAGTATTCTGATAACCAGAAATCTCAGTTTGCAAGTCGAAGAATTGTTATTATACATGAATTATGCCTTCTTGTGTAATAGAAACAGACAATAGTAGAAGGAGAGTATACCTGCATCGATAACTAAAACCCTGTCACAGTCCATGACTGTGGGTATTCTGTGAGCAATGCTGATAATCGTACAATCGGCAAATTCCTCTCTAATAATCTTCTGAATCACAGCATCAGTTTGAGAATCAACTGAAGCAGTTGCTTCATCCATAAACAGCAGATGACTATGCTTTAGCATAACCCTTGCCAAACAAAGAAGCTGCCTTTGCCCCACGCTCCAGTTGTCTCCGTTGTCAATCACTATGACGTTAATAGTTTCCGTAATTTTTTGTTCCAATAGTACGTTGAATTTAAGAAGTTTGGAAAAGTGAAAAACTGTGAAATACATGACAGTCAAATTTTACCTGGAGAATCAAGTTTTTCGGGTTTTGTAGACACAACACCTTTCAGTTGACAGCGTTCAAGACTCTACAAAAACATGAAGTTTTCAGCTTGCAAACTCCTTACAAAAGGTTTTTCACAAAAAGAAAAATTAAAAAGAACAATAATGATCAAGTGAAGTGAATCGAGAAATGAAAACCACAAGATTACCTTCCATATCTCCTCATCTTTATACTGTCCAACAGGATCCACGTTGCTTCTCACGGTTCCTTCAAAGAGGACAGGCTCTTGAGGAATTATGCCAAAACGAGACCTGAGATCATGGAGCCCTAACATACAGATGTCAATTCCATCAATAATTATTTTTCCTTCTGTTGGTTCCACCAGCCTAAAGAAGACTTGGATCATAGTTGACTTTCCACTCCCTGTACGTCCAACAACACCAATCTTCTCTCCCCCTTGAATCCTGAGATTGATGCCCTTGAGAACCAGAGGAGTGTTTGGACGATATCTAACCTGTTAGCCAAAAATTAAAATACATCAAACATGGATATATTAGCTAAAATGCTTAGTTCACTGATGATGACCTAGTGCTAGCTATGCATGCATAATGCCCTTTGGTCTTTGTTGATACCTGACAATTTCAATTGCATTTCACTTCCTCAGCCTAAAAGAACCATCAGGATGGTGTGTGAATTGCACCCCTAGAAATAATGAAAACTTAAAATGATTTCTTTATAGGAACTCCTTTTACCTGCAAGTCTTTTATATCAACATTGCCATGGGCAGGCCAGTTTGGAGGAGGAACCCTATCCTTTATCTTCCATGCCGCTTCTGATGGAATATTTGTGAATTGCTTAATCCTCTCAACAGAGACCATTCTATTTTCCACAAAGCAACTAAAATATATGCCCCAGAACAGCACAGAATTGAGTGATAACCCGTAGGAGAGAGATAAACCAACATTCTCTACATCATGCAGAATTTGGTTAGTTTTCTGGAATAGAAACATTTAAATTCTGATGACTTTAAGAAATTTGAGTTATCTACAGCTAGATATTCCAGAAATAATATCAAAAGCATTGATGCTTTGGATGCTTCAATCAATGATTTTAAGAACAAATAAGCCTCATCATATGTAAACAGGAACACAAGTAACATGGCAGCATATGAATTAAGTAGAACCAAAGAAACATGATATGCAAATGCTTTTGCTGTTGCTTTAAAGAAAGAGCGTGACTCTTTTGCAAGAACAATTTGAATCACTTCGTCCAGACACCTTGTATATGGATGAACATGCATATATCAATTTTGATGAATCAAATCCTTGAGAGATGTTGCCCTATGAAAATAGCACGTTAGCATGGAGTTACCTGGCCTTACAATACTGCTAGGTAATAGGATCAAGAACATAGCAGAAGCGCACAGTATGAAGCTCCCAATCAGTTCCAAACGGAAGCCCAACCACTCATTTGATCCATTGTTGTGAAAATCCATGCGCAAATTGGCATTCACTCGGTTAACATTTTCCTGACAGAACCCATCCTGTTTTCTGAAAGACCGGATTGTCATAACTCCAGAGATGCTTTCTGAAAAGTGATGAATGACAGGAGCTTTTGTGATGGAGTCAAGTCGAGTTAATTCTCTAGATGTTGCAAGAAAGTATCCCTGCAACCAATAAGATAATCATTGATATAAATTTGGCATATCAATCTTGAGATTTATCTACTCCTGAATCCAAGAGGTCAAGCTGTCAAATAAACGAATACTACAATCATCTGTTGAGTGATATCATTTATATCAATGTGAGGTTGACAGGTTGCATACTGAAAATGCTACCAGCAAGATAAATGAAAGCTCTTACCCGATACCAGAAGTTCAGCCAACCAAGCGGAATTACTATGAACACAGTTGGCCAAGTATATTGACATACGATTATAATGATGCTGAGCACTGAGATGTACATTGCAATGGTAAGGGCTAAAATAAATGGAAGGAAGATGTCAATGTTGGTTTGATCAGCTGAGGCCTGAAAAAGAAAAATATACCCATTATAGACTTAAGAAGGAATACACTCATAGTTAAAAGCACAGAGAGGGAAAGAAATTATCATAATTGGGTCTGGCCTCCTTACTCGGCTTAATATTCTTCCTGAAGGCGTGGTATCAAAAAATGACATGGGTGCGTGCAAGATACTGTGAAGAATACCGCCAAACAACTTTTGGGCTGTCTTAAGCCCCATAAGTGTGACGAAAAGGGATCTCATTATTAAAATCACCACTGATACAGATGCAATAATTCCATAGACAGATATAAATAGTGAAGGCTTGAAGGTTGCAGCACGCTCTTCTGCAGTTTCATATGCCAACCAGTAATCTCCAGCCATTTGAGATGCTTGCCATAGTAGGGACAATAGCAATGCCACAACTACACCCCACCATCCAAAAGCCTCGGTGCAGTATTGTTTATACACATGCAGGCCTATGTTTCCAGTTGCTCTTTCCTCTTCTTCAACGAGCTTCGAAGTTCCTTTTCTTGATTTTGGTTGATCTATAAGGTTGTTTTCGTCATTGGCCTCCCCAAGTTTGGAAGGGCCTTGAGGGGGTTTTGGTGGTCTGGGTGAGTTTGCACTAGGAATTTCAGTACTGACTTCTACAAGTTCCATAGCAGTTTCATGAGCAGCAACTAGTGCTCCGAAATCCAACCCAGACACCAATAGATCTTTGTACTTCCCTGATTGTACTATCTGCCCATCTCGCATGACCTGGTATTAAGAGATGCTTCATTTTTTTTTCAGAAATTACTGATATAAACACTTATCTGCACCAGTGAGAATGATACAAAATGACTTTTTTACTTACCGAGATAAGATCAACATTGTGCAAGAAGTCAACCTGGTGGGTCACGAGTAAGATGGTCTTTCCCTTAAGTGCTCCTCTAACACATTCCTGCAGAAGGCATTTATGTAACTTAAAACTGCCATTCGTTTTTCAGAATGCATCAGGTAGAAATACCGATCCCCAACCAGTAAATGTAAGTTTACCTAAGAAAATTTACATGCCTTTTTAACAGGAGATTACAGAAAAGACATTTATCCTTTATAAATTATCTAAATTCTCTGATGTAAGTGATTTTCTGTGTTTTCCACTCACCGACTGAATTTCTATAACAAAAGACACTTATGACCAAAATGGAATGACGAGTAAATCATTTCACATCCACTGAAAATCCAAACTTTAAAGCAAGTAAATTTAATGTCACCTTAAATATATCAGTCCCAGTATGCGCATCAACAGCACTAAAAACATCATCAAGAAGATAGATATCACAGTCCTGATAAACAGCCCTTGCAAGTTGTATCCGCTGCTTCTGTCCACCACTGAGGTTGATGCCACGCTCTCCAATCTCAGTCTGATCTCCGAACTCCATCATTTCCAAGTCTTTCTCCAAGCAACAAACCCTGATAACTTCCTTGTATTTCTCCGCATTCATTGGCAAGCCAAATAATATATTCTCCTCAATGGTGCCATTTTGAATCCATGATGTTTGAGCAACATAGGCTGTTGTTCCACAAACCCTGACCTGTTGAAGGAAGAGTAATATTTCAGTGAAGCATTACAAGATTATCATTTGCAAACATGCAGCGGGATTAGCAAAAAAAATAAAGTTGTTGTTAGATTGATTAATTGAATATAAGCAGCAAAAGTAATGCAGAACACCTTACTACATGCAAAAGGAAGTAGATAAATCCCACAAAATGCATACCTTTCCCGATAGTTTGTGCATCTCACCGAGAATTGAGGCAAGGAGAGAAGATTTCCCAGATCCCACAGTCCCAACAATAGCAGCAACCTCCCCCTTTTTGATCTCCAAATTTATATTTTTCAAAACCTCATCTTCAGCTTCATCGTCCCAACTAAATACCCCATCCTTAACCTCCACAGCAATTCTGCCATCACAACCATCGACTCTTTCAACCGAATCTTCCACCAATTCCTTGCTTTGCATATAGCGATCCAATCTTGCGAGAGATACCAGTGCTTGTGAAAGTGATATCATAGATTGAGGGAACGTCCTGATAGGCTCCTGCAAGATTTTAAAGACAGATGTCGTTGTGAACACTGTCCCTGCATCAAGTGGGACTCCCAACAGAAGTGCAGTGCCAAATGTAAGAGTTGATACTAGCAATGGTGCGCTCCACATCACAATAATATTACCGGAGATCGAGTACAAAAACTTGGAAATCCATCCAAATTCTGATTCACGAAAATCTTGGATTCTCCTGTTGAAGTGTTCTTCCCATGCCTGGAACTTGATTACACGCATGTAATTCAGCATCTCATTTGTTGCCTTCATCCTCGAATCACGATTTACCATCACGTTTCTTTGGAACCTATTATTTCTTTGGGTTCCAAACACAGCGAACACAACAATGCCAAGAGTTCCAATAAACGCCGTGATCATTGGGGCACCAAGAGTGTTATATAGGAGCACCAAGCCAACACCAAGTTGCATTGGCATTAACCATATAGAGTGCAACTGTAACATCATATCAGAGAGTTGCTGGGCGTCAACAGCCATGTAATTCACAATCTGTCCAACTCCATGAGCTTGACGAGCAGAACAAGATAACCTAAGGCCTTTCTTGTATAAAGAAGTGATGAGAGTACATCTAATGAGCATCCCAAGTTTCTGAGAATTGAAGTTAAATTGGTGAACAGTCAAAACCTCAACAAATTTTGCGACAAGAAGAGTCAACACAAGGTAATATCCTTCATAGGCAGAGGTTCTTTTCCCAGATGTGTAATCGACAAAACTTTGTATGAGCATAGGCCCAACATACATGACACAGAGCCGCAAGATTGCAAGAGACGCAGTGAAGGCAATTTCCTTCCAAAAGCACCTCAACAACGTGATTCGAACGGGGTGGTTGGACTTCTCATGTGGTTTAGGCCAACTGGATTCAAAGAGCTGTGACATTTTTTCAGCTCTATGCTCTGGTGAAAGGATCGGCACATCATCTAACTTGAGTGGAGATTTGTAGCCCTTACGCAGTAGGGGATTCATCCAAAGCCAAAAGGACTTGGATATTATTGTGGCCGTAGCAAAGCCAGTCACATTGGATTTTCCCAGAAGAGATTCATGTAATTTGGGGTCATCATGCATTACCGATTCAGATTCCCTGATTACAGTAATCCCAGTCGATCCTCTAATGGCAACATAAAAAAGAACAATTGATAATGTGAAAGCTATTACAGAAACTATATCATCAAATATCAAGTTGTGATCCAGAGCTACCAAACGAATGATCCCTGATGACATAAACAAACTAATGATGATGAAGTTTGCAACCCAATAAATTCGAAGAGACAGTGGATGAGTGATAGCTTGAAATCTCTTCTCGTGAATGATCAAGATTGCGATCACTAGATAAGTTATTGCTTGAACTAACCAAAAGACTCCATCAAGCACTTTCCAATGAGGCAACTGAGTGCGTTGACTGAACGCTAGAATGGAGCCGACAGTGTAACACAAAGCTAACAAGACTGATACAACCAAAGAGAGCTTGAACCAGATAGAAGTTGTGACATGAGCTCTGCTGTTTCCATTTCCAAGGAGGGGCTTGTTGATGTCAGAGCCGGTGGTGAATCTAGAATACAGTTTTTGAAAGGCAAATCCGAGGAGGACAAGCAGGAACAAAAGGTCAACTGAAGATAGCAGAGCTCTTTGAGGACATGGAGAGAGGAAAATGAATCTTAGCCATTGAAATATCAATGAAATAGAGGTGTCCCCTGAAGACTGAACCACAGAGCTTGAGCATGAGAGAGAGTTGATCCATGTTGAAGAACTCATGCTTCCCAAACTTCAAGTGAAATAAAA